ATGACACTACTGTATGTCACAGTAGATGACACCATTCTGTATGTCAAGGTAGGTGACACTACTGTATGTCACAGTAGATGACACTACTGTATGTCACATACGATGACACTACTGTATGTCACAGTAGATGACACTACTGTATGTCACATAAGATGACACTACTGTATGTCACAGTAGATGACACCATTCGGTATGTCAAGGTAGGTGACACTACTGTATGTCACAGTAGATGACACTATACTGTATGTCGCAGTAGATGACACTATTCTCTATGTTACAGTAAATGACACTACTGTATGTCGCAGTAGATGACACCATTCGGTATATGTCACAGTAGATGACACTACTGTATGTCACAGTAGGTGACACTATTATGTATGTCACAGTAGATTATGTATTAGTATGATATTAATTTAGTTTCATTAAGGATACGTATGCCCTGTAGTCTTCACACATTACGATCAAGACAAATCACTTTCTTTTCTTAAACTGTATCGTAATGAACTTACTGGTAGGCCTGGAGCTCCATCTGGTCCCTGGAATCCGGCCTCACCTGGGTAACCCTAAAAACAATGCATACAAACTTTTAAACACATCCACACCAATGGATAAACCTCTTAAGTCTATCAAACTTACAGGAATTTTCTATTTTTTTTGAAATTCTGAATAAACTTCAACTGTTTTTTAAAATCATTACCTTATTTACACTTGCCAAGTGTCCCCGAAAAAAATATTTAATAGTACTAAAAACTCATTTTAATTTGGTAGTTAAAATAAGAGTGTATATTATTGACTAAATAAATTTAAAAAAGAAGAGATTTACATCTTTTTATTTCAAATATTTTTATCTAAATTCTTACTCTTTCTCCCATGTCTCCTTTGGATCCTGGGAGGCCAACTGGGCCAGGCTCTCCCTTTGGTCCAGGATCTCCAACTACACCAGGTGGTCCCACTCTGCCTGGATGACCCTACATTTTATTGATATTAAAACATAGATTGTAGGACTTGACGCAAGAATTACAAACTTATTTATGTTCTCTGTATAAAATAGTATAAATAGATGCCAATAGCATGCAGCTGCTTATATATAACCATAATTAAACTAGATTTGGGTTTTTTTATGAATAAAAACATGTCTCCGCTTGTTAGCCAATATGCATATTTACTTGCACACATTTAATTTTTCACCTAGGTCAACACAGTGACCTAAATAGTAAATACTCTGCATTGCACACTTTCTATGGGTGGTGCATGTGGACTTTAAATTAGCTCTATAAAAATATCTTCAGTTATTTCAAATTTCAATGCCTAGACAATATTTAACTGAAAATTGTTCATTCCTGTTTGACCTTTGATCTAGAGGTGAATGTCATATTTACTTCATTTACACAGCACTGCACAACTCTGGGTGATGCAAATTTCACTGAAAACTTTCCACACCTAGTTGACCTTTGACCTACAGGTGTTGGCTATACTGACTTAATTTACAGAGCACTGCACACTTTCTCTGGCCGATGCAGATTTTACTAAAAAATATTTTGCAACTATTTGACCTTTGACCTAGAGGTGAATGTCATGTTCATTTAATTTACAGAGTACTTACTGCACACCTTTTCCAGATGATGCAAATATCCTTTTAATATTTTCAATGGTTAAACATTACGACCAATGACAATATTATATTTGGAGAACATTGCTAGAAGCATATTAAAACCGTATGAATACCTCTCTCAATTGCAAAGGGGAGACATAATGGCATGCAAAAGAGTGTCCATGTTATTTACATGATGTCGCAAACATACTGAAACAATAGAAGAACTTTAAATGAGGAACATTAAATAATTATTTCTTCAGGTTTGTACAGAGACATATATGTTTCATCAAATGAATGGAGCATCAAGTCAAAGGTTGTTTAGTTTTTAACCTGACCGAATGATTATGAACGATTAATCGTTTGGTAAAGATGACAAATTATAAAATGTCATTGAAATGTAGCAAATCACACCAACGTTTGATTGTTCAAAATAAGTCATTGATAATATACGTTACTTTATTTATTGTCATTGTGTGTAACTTGTTGCACATCCCAGTCTTACCTTGATACCACGGTCACCCTGCTGTCCCTTTGGCCCTGGAGGTCCAGGAGGTCCCTTTGAAAATGAAAATATGCCATATTCTTAACTTCTGATAAACTTCGTGTTATATTAAACTCAAATGTCCTGTTTTTTCACTGCAACACAAATATACATGCATATGAACTATGACCTTACAATGTTATTAAACATGACATTGCAGCACATTGTCATGTTACAGTTTTCTTGAAAAAGAAGATCGTTCCAAGATAGTTTTAAGTAAAAACGATTTACTGTAAACAGAAGTAAAATTGTTTTTCATTTTTTTTTTCCAGTGTTGTAATTTTTGCAGTTTTTCATGATAACAATATTTTTCACAAAATATGTATCCGTTGAAATGAATAGAAAATTGATAAACCCTCACTATAGCACTTTGTGTCATGGTCACTAGACCTCAAATCTGCAAATAAATAGATCCCGCGAAATTGACCTTTTTAGCAAAACTGCATAAATTAGGGATTGTTTTACAGTTTTAGTGTAACACAAATATCTGCAAATCAGATTCAATTTTTAGGTTAGATGATTTAGCAATTCAGCATTTTTTAATTTAGCAGTTATTACAACTTAGCACTTTCAGTGCTAACTTGAAAGTGCTAAGGAGTACCTCTAAAAATAAGTATGTATAAATATCTATCCTGCAAAGAATAAACTGAAAATCTTTGAAATGATAATTCAATCAAACATTTGAAAATTTGATTTTTGAAAATGCGATCTTATAGGAGATTTTTACTATGAACCATTTCATTACAATGTGATGTTCTTAACATGCACTGCCATTTGTGTAACATATACATGTATAATCAGTGGCTTAACATAACAATCACTGTACATGTGAAATCATCTTATTCCATGTATTTTGAAGAAAATACAGATTGCAAAATTATCTTTCAGCATTTGCATCTTTATGTGAATGGTGTCGCAACTTACTATGAGTCCCTGTTCTCCTGGCATCCCTGAGGAGCCCATAGCTCCTGCCTCTCCCTAGCAACAAAAACAACACACAAACTTTTGTTGAAATATTCTTCTTTATCATTGCACCAAATTTAAAATTAGATTTTAACAAAAACAATGATGGTAAGACATTTCTATAAGCAAGCTTATTGGTTTGTTTATGTATAAATATGATATTGGATCAGTCAGAACAGAAACACTGTAGTCTTACCACTGGTCCTGGAGATCCACGCGGTCCCTGTACTCCAGACGGTCCTGGTGCTCCCTGAAAGTGAATCAATTGTTCTTACATCACATATTCAAAAACAATAGGAAATTCATTACTAGAACACTGACAGGTCAGTAAGGGCCCCATCTTGTGGCAATATATCCCCCATAATCATCAAGAAGCAATCTGCCCATATAGCTGACCTTGACGTTTGACATTTGGACTTCAAAAAGAATCGCAAGGGAGCAAAATATACATTTTACATGTACTTTGATGTGAGTCTTGTTTCCTTCCACCTCCATATTTGCTGGGCTAACAGAAATGTAAATACCGGTGCAATACTCATTTGTTAGCTTTGATTTGTTTTATTTCACCTTATATACCTCCTCCATCAAGAGCCAGGGTCAAAGTCAGAGATCCACTTTGTCTTTGACCTTTGGACCCAAATGACCTTGACCATTAACCCAGTGACCCTGATCTTTGGTCAGTTGACTTATTCTTTAATTCCGACCAACTTTGCTTCATAATATCATAACAAAATGTTCATCAGTGAAAAATACAATACTTGACCTTGACCCTTTGGACCCCGTAACCTGGACCTAAGGTCAGTTGATTCTGTGTTAAGTTCTGAACAAGTTTGCTACATAATAACATAAAATGACCTTGACCTTAAGTCAGTTGACTCCTTTTTAAATTCGGACCAACTTTGCTTCAAAGTGTCATACCAAAATGTTCAACATTGAAAAGATACACAATTTAAACTTGACCTTTGACCCAATGACCTTGACATTTGGTCAGGTTGACTCCTTGTTTAATTCTGATCAACTTTGCTTCATCATATCATAACAAAATGTTCATCAGTGAAAAGATGCAAAATTTGACCTTGACACCTGACCCGATGACCTTGACTCCTTGTTTTATTCTGATCAACTTTGCTTCATCATGTCATGACAAAATGTTCATCAGTGAAATTATTCAAAATTTGACCTTGATCATTGAACCTAATGACCTTGACCTTTGATCTTGACTTTTTACCTCAATGTGTATTTTTGTGAACTGAACATCTTAATTAAGATTCATGTACATCACCAATAAATACTAAAGTTATCAGCCAGGAACAAAATTTGTGGACGGACAGACAAACAGACAGACAGACAGAGTGATTACTATAGGGCACCCGTATCTCCGATACGGGGCCCTAACAAGTCCCTGCTGGAATTTGTTAACTACAGTTATGTTCACTAATTTCACTGACACACAAATCTGTATTTTAGCACTGTTGATTAGAAATTCCAGGAATAAATTTATGGAAGAAAAGTATACAATTTCTTGTCTGATCGCTGGTATACAATTTCTTGTCACTGATAGGGGAATGTAAGCTTACCGTTGGTCCTGCAGATCCACGGGGACCACGTGTGCCAATCAGACCACGATCTCCCTTGTTGCCCATTTCTCCTTGTACTCCCTGAGGACCAGGGTTCCCTGCCTCTCCCTGTGTGTAAATATGTTAATAAACAGTCAGATAGAACAGAAAATAATCATCAAACACATATAGAATGTCATATGCCTTTTTTACACATTTTAGGTGCAGTATCCATGAATTTGTTGACATTAAAAAGTTAAAATACTAAAAGTCACACCTTAACAATGTGATTGACACGTGTTGACAGTTTTTGGGATATGCTCTAGAGATGCAAATTTGCTCCCGAGTTTGAATTTGTTGACCACTATTTCAATGAAAATTCAAAATTTCTAGGAATCGGTGAAGTGAAAATGCCAAAAGGCACCATCAGCATAATTGTTAAGTCCTAGGGATACTGAATAATATTGTTTGATGTGTTGCTGAAGGGTGTGAAAAAGGGGGTGTAATAAATGATAACCCAAATGTAACTGGAACACTGACACTGCCATGTGCCTGAATGTAGCCCCCAATGGTCTACCTTTAGGAACAGTAACCTTGACTTCAAAATCTTTTGCAATCCCTATTGCACATCTGCATTTCAAACAGATTTCAGTTCTGGATTCCGAGATAAGGACCATACACCCCCTCCCCTGGCCTATTTTTAGTAACAGTAAGATTGACCTTGGCTGTAGAATTTTCAAAAAAAACAACTCTATTGCACATCTGCAAATCACCATGTATCACTATGTCAATTTCAAAAAGATTAGACCTTTTGATCCTGAGAAAAGGACCATACCCCAAAGGTCTATTTTGGGTATCCGTGACATTGACCTCGCCCTTAGAATATTCTACATTACACAGTATATCAACATATTAAATTTTAGAAAAAAATGGTTTTTCAGGTTCAGAAATAATCTCTGGAAACAAAAGTGTGGACGGACAGACATAGACGGACACATTTCTGATGCGGGACCCGGGCATACACTTCATATAGGTCAAGTGTATATTCCAATGGATAGCATCGACTATTTATCTTTTTTTCACAGTTATATATATTTATACCGTCCTTTTTGAATAAACCATGGTTAACAGTATAAAAGTACTGACCGTCTTTCCTCCCCTTCCCTGTAATCCTGCCTCTCCTTGTACTCCTGGCAGACCCTGCAACATACAAAACAAATTTCTTTCATATGGAGGATTAATCTGAATCAAGATAATTTCACAAACAAATATATCTGATGTTTTTTGTTAAGTTTGGAAACTAGATACATGCATGTTTCCAATTAACCAAATCTTGTAACAAATTATACATTAATTTGCCTTTCAATGATTACAGGGAAGATATTTTGCAGCATTCGACACTAATTTTGTGCCTCTCACTCCAGTACCGAGTATGAATGACCAGGTATCTTACCACTGGTCCTGGTGGTCCACGATCTCCTTCTGGACCATCCTTTCCTGGCTCACCCTGTAAGGGAGATAATCAGTTATTCACACTCTGTTAACTAATATGATATGCATGAGAGCCATCATTAATAGAAAGAACATCACATACCAGAAATACAGCGCTTAAATTTTATGTAAAATTCTCCTAAATTAATTTAATTATCAGCGAAGATAGATCACTGGAATCCTTTTACAGAGATCAGGTTATATATAATATCATCAACATCAGTCTGCAGTACTAGATAAATCTTTAATAAAATAATATTTCTTATTTCTGAATTAATTCAAAGCCCATAAACCACCTCTTCAAATTGTGTGAGAAATGAATTGGAAAATTAAAATCCTGTTTGCTCACCTTCAATCCAGACTCCCCTGTAGACCCAGGCAGGCCCTCCTCTCCAGCTAAACCCTAACACACAAAACATCATTAGTTGTGTATAACAACCTTACCAATACTGAAGGCACAAATTTTGTCAAACATTATTATGTATTATTTCATAGGTCAATACCGATAAATTTTAAATCATACTTAATTCATTTTTAAACTGCAATACTGCCTCAAATCTGTTTGGTTAATTCTGGTATTCTTATCAAACAAAATATTTGATCTGAACATTGAACCATTTTTGAAGTTGGACATTCTGAAAAAGCAATTATCTCAGAACTCACACATAATGAAATGGACATAAATCCATCCTATAGGTAAATTTCATACTCACAGCATGTCCTTTGGGACCAATAAGTCCTGCGGGGCCCCTTGGCCCTGGTGATCCCTGAAGCCCTGGTCGTCCATCTAATCCCTTTGGTCCCTGGGGTCCTGGTGGTCCCTAGATATACCAAGAATCCTTTTACAGAGATCAGGTTATATATAATACTGAGAAAATTATTATACAATTCAAATATCTTTTTGATTTTACATTTAAAACAAGTTAATGGTTGTTCAGGATATGGCACAATGTGGGATTATGGCAAGATTATTTATACATTTATACAAAATATTCTTTGACAACACTATTTCCAAATTAAAGTAATGATTTGTTGAAGGATAACTATACCAGTTACAGCCTGAAACATTATGAGATCAGGTGGTCACATTTTGATAACAAAATCACCTATCGCCTGCAACATTACATAAACAACATCAGTAAGTCTGTAACAGCTGATTATCAGATTTATTTATACACTTACAGCCATTAACATTCACTGTAGAAATATCACAATGATACCTATTTACCTTGGACTGTGATCAGATGTAATCCCTATCCTACCAGTATTTTTGGTATTAACAGAAAAAACTATTCACTTGAAATGTGTTTATGGAATTTAGTGACATGTCTTTGTCATTCTGACTTGACTGTTTGCTATTGGTATTTTGCAATTGCAAGATACTTGGTTAGTCATTATGGTACACAACCCTTTGAATAAGGATTAAAATACTGCAACACTTTCTCAACTGCAATGAAAACCTTTATCATCTTGATTTCACAATGTAACTCACCACAGTGCCATCCTGACCTGCTGATCCTGGCTCGCCAGTGGTTCCCATCTCCCCCTTCATCCCCTGTCTGCCTTCGGGTCCTGGGGGACCTGTGTTACCTGGTAAGCCCTGTAATTTCATAGCAGTGTTTTCAATTTATCCTTTAGGGCTCGCATGCACATACCCTAGTGAGCCTATAGCTACATTTTTGTATCACACAAATGGTGTTAAAACAAGAATATTGATTGTCCTGCAGTATTTATCGAAGATTTAGCTCTGATCATAAGCATCATGTCAAACTATCATATTGGCTAGATCACTATGTTGCAGGATTTAAAAAAAAAATCTGACCTTGAGATATGAACGAATTCCCAGTCATACATGTTATATAAATAGTAACAATCTGTAAAAACCAGTGTGTGGGTTAGGGAACTAAATGCTCTATTTATAAAGACATTCAGTTGACAGTGCTGGCAATGGGAGTAGTGCTGACATTTAAGTGACGGAACACGTCTACACAAGCATTAAAGCAAAAAGTTGATTCAAAATTTGCGCATGCACAGTGAGCCCCAAATAGATCAGGAATAACTTTATGAATAAATAGTAGAAAACTAACGATGAAAGTTCTTTCCAGTTTATGTCTCTATTTTCAAGTATACCCATAGGTAAAATATAACAAAATTTCTTAATTCAAAAATGAAAAGAAAGCACATTGAATTGATTTCATAATTACAATAATGAGTCTGGACACAGTAAAAACAGTATTCAGTTTAGGATTAATTTGTTTTCTTTAATTTTGTGAAAAAGAAGAAACAAAACAAATGCTGCCATGTGCGAGTTACTCAATTTCATGTTTACCCTCATCTGCATACAGTATTTAAATTGGGCCAATATGAACTTTAAGCTCATTTCCCGGCCATCCGGATTAAGGTAAATCAAGGTAAATCAGTATGTAAGATTTCTCATTTGCATATGTATGATTCTCATTTGCATATGCTATATTTCTCATTTTCATATGTAAGATTTCTCATTTGCATATGTATCATTTAGTCAATTTTTTCACAACGTGATGTGAATATTAGAGCTACACTTGGTAGAGATGCAAGTCTAACATCATAACATGTTTGCTATTGTGTCTCTTGATAACTTCTGAGTGTAACTGACCCTGTGGGTATACATGTGCACTTACAGAGGTGCCAGATGGTCCAGGTGTTCCCTGGGGGCCTGGTGCTCCAGGTGGTCCCTACCAACACATACAGATACCATAAGACATATTCATTTCGTGACCATATAAGAAATTACCAACATACTTTACTGTTCTGATATTTTAAAAACAGCAATGAATAAGGTGTTATATTTGCAATTATTGTTTTAGTTTTCATTTCTTTTGTTAGTATAATTAATGTTTTATTTGTATTCAATCAAAACTTTCCAAACAAAAAACTTGAAAGTTAAACTTTCATCAAACACAATATACTGGAGAAGTACTACCTGAGCTGAAAGTTTAGAATGGTCTTATACATGTTTAACTGGGAGTTAGAAATCCTTTTAGGCTAATTTTGGTAATACTTACAATTGATCCACGATCTCCGCCCTCTCCTTTAGAGCCTATGGATCCCGGTAGTCCCTGCAAACCAACAGGCCCAGTAGCCCCTGGCAAGCCACGTGGACCCTCAGATCCCTTCACACCGTTTGGTCCCTGGATTCCTTGAATGCCAGGCTCGCCTGGAGGTCCCTACGCACAAAAATCATCACACTAAATGTATTGATATTGACAAGCAGAAATCCCAAAAATATAATATACCACTTCATATCATTTAATGATTTTCTTCTTAAGTATCCGTTTACCTTTGAGTTGGACAATGAAAATACAGTGTGACCTTGACTTTCAGTATTTGTAGTGTGATTTTGACTTCTAAGTATGTACAGTGTGATCTTGATTTGGAGTATATATAATAACCTTGACTTTGAATATATGAAGTGTGACCTTGACTTTGACTGCATACCTATAGTGTGACCTTGACTTTGACTTTTGATTATAAACCTATAGCGTGACCTTGAATTTGAGTATATATAGTGTTACCTTGACTTTTAACTTTTTGCAAGATGTGCGTCTTTCAGTGAAACAAACTTAAACGCAAAAACCTGAATGTTGACGCCGTCGCCGGAAAAGCAACACCTTAGTCTCCTTCGTGGAGGCGAGAAACAAAAACGGATTTTACACCTTTTAGAACATCAGTGTTGTCTACTTACTGGCGGTCCACTTTGTCCCTGAGATCCCAATGGTCCGGATGGTCCAGGTGGTCCCTGAAAGGAAGATAGACAATGCATCACATATCTGTGAACTTTTAATGTTACTTACATGTACACTGATCCTTCTGTACTTATTCCCAAATTTGTTTCAATCCATGCTATGCCGGTGTAGTATGGTAATATGAAGGCCATGGTGAAATGAACCGCGGTTCATATTACCATTAGGGCACACCTTCTATTTATACAAAATTGAGTCTCCTTTCCCCAAGGATGCTCCAGGCCGCATTTAGTCAAAATCCATTGAGATGTTCAGGACAAGTAACATTTTAAAGGAAAAATTGATGGACAAATAACAATATAAATAGCTAAATTGTTAAGTTCTATCAGGATTATTTTTTATCTGAACTGGGATTATAATCCATTGGGATTTTCCCTGCATGCATAACGGATAGATTGTTTAAAGTACAAAGACTTATGTAAGTATTTTTGGAAAACCACAAAGAACATATAACAATCCAATTATGAAGCTTAGAGTTTTTTGACTGACAGTGTCACTTGGTCAGTGTTGGTGATTAAGTGTAGGTCAAAAAAGACAATCTATGATTGACATATCTGATGGGTTCAAATTCCATTACTACATCAAGTTATTTTACCAACCTAACAGACTTAATGTTTTGATATGCATTTTTCTGTCTGTAAAATAACCCATCTGCACAAGCATTATTAAACGTGTTATTTTTAAATTTATATGTCTAATGTATTAACAGATAGAATGAACTTCTCAACAATACACGTTCTACAAGATGAGAAATACAGTCAACAGAACTTTTTGGTTTTTATTAAATCGTATAATTATACATACATGTACACAAATACATACCGGTAGACAAAAACAAAGAATATAAAAATGATATATAATTTTTCTAGTTTGTGTATTTTTATTTGAGCAAGCAATTAATTTTGTATAAGCAATATAAGTGGCCATCCTCTAGGTCAGTTGTTTATGCAAAATAGTCAAACATTCATTAGATTTTGAATGCCTGGTTTGAAAGAGCTAAATTTTCTTACCATTTCACCATAATCTCCCTTGGATCCTTTAGGTCCTGGGTGTCCAGTATCTCCCTAAACAGAACGAGAACACTAAGTGAAATAAGTGAAACTATCACTGTCAACAATCCCTGCTACAGACTAGATATATATAACACAGATAGGAAAGAAAGTGTTGTTCAGTAAATTTTACAAGCCATTAGGATTGATATGTCTCGCCTCTGCCGCTATTGACCATCAATCAGGGGCGTAACAAACGGGTTTTCAATGTGTAAGCCCAATGATGAAATGTGCTGCCGAAGGCAACACACCGAAGCGCGTAGTGCGCGGAGGGGGTGGGTATGGGAGGCGCGTAGCTGGGCTTTTTCAATATGCGAATGCGAGCGCCGAAGGCGCGAAGACATTCTAGGGGGGTACGGTGGCATGCTTCATTCACTTTGTTATTGGAAAGCATCGCAAAAAATTCAAATGAATTTTAAATGCGAAAGACAGCTCTCCTTTTTTTTCTCTCCGACAAAAATGTGTCGATTGTTGGAATTCCTCGAAAATATCCGTTGCGTCATAGCTCTTTCCTGATGAATCTAAATTAACTAGATATTTAAAATGCCGGAGCCAATATGAACAGATTAATTTCAGATTTTTTGCTGTTGTGTCCATTAAACCCTTTTTATATCATCAACATTTCTCAGAACATAAGATGACGGTAGCTCCTATATCGATGTTTAGATATATGTATAGATCTACATATATATCCAGTAGCCCTATACAAGATAGACCTAGGACATATTTTATAAGTTCATGACGGGGGAAAATGAATGTATCTAACTACGTGTATCTATGATGTGAAATTCTTAATAGACCTATAGAATGTCAAAGATTAGCATCGATGTGGGTCGTGGGGCTCTCCCCCAGGAGAATTTTGTTTTCTAGAACGCATGAGACGCGTTCTCCCGTGTTCTGGCGTCAGTTTGAATTGCCATTTTAAAGCAAGTATATATCATTTTCCCCTATTATTTTACAAATATTTTGTTTTTTTATATTTTGTATCATATTGTCTTTGTCGCTTATTATTAAAATGATGTGTAAGCCCGGGCTTTTTTGCTACATAGGTTGTTACGCGCCTGTCAATGCACATATCAGAGAAACTAACTTAAACGCAAAAAACTTAATGTTGATGGAGACGCTGACAAAGTCAATGGACCATGAAAGGTAGGCCTCATCCAGCATTTGATGCATGGGTTGCGATGTACTCCCGAAGATGATCTATGGTCCAAGTTTGGTTGGTCTAGCACTTATAGTTTCAGTGAAACAAAGTGAAATGCAAAAACTTAATGTTGACACCACCACTGTCGTCGGAAAAGCAACACCCGAGATCGCTTCCGCTTGCTCGTGGTGGCGAGACAAAAACTCAAAATATCCTTGTTGGAATGTTCAGTACATTTCCTGCTCTAATTGAGGTTTGGTTTGTTTGTGTTTTACGTCCAATTAACAGCTACTGTCACTTAAGGACGTGCAAGGTTTGATGATGGAAAGAAAGCTGGAGTTCCCCGAGAAAACCACAGACCTGCGGCCAGTACCTGGCGACTACCACGTAGGCCTTGAACCTAACTAACTTAGGGGCTCTAAATATAACTACTGGTAAGGGCATAACAGCTAGACCAAAAATTTAAATGTGATGTCTCTCTTAAGATTGTATTTTCAGAACTCATAGTTTTTGAAATTCAAAGCTAACTATTATTGCAACGTCAATGTCATGATTTGTAATTTCAGATCCAGTAGAGACAATAGTTTTCCAACAAATAAAAGACTTTCAAAATCTTTACCTACTGGTATTAAATCTGATTGCACTTTGAAGTTATCTTTTCTTATCTAGTTAAATTACATGTGCTGTATGTATCATAGAAACAGGGGTCACATTGGCACCTCTTCATTATTCATTTGTCAAAATGTGCATACAGCAATTTGGTCAGTAGCAAACCTTATCTCCATCCTCTCCTGGAGCTCCAGATGGTCCTGGTGGTCCATCGTAACCCTGGAAACACAGAAATGTAATTTTTAACTAATTGAAATCATGAATATACATTCTGTAATAAATATGTTTTTTTGCAAATTTCTCCTACATGGTTTCTACACTAATTTTAGCGTATACTATTTTGACAGAGTTTAACAGTTACACTTGATTGAGTTAACACTTTAAGATTCAAGATTTTGCTCAAGATTCAAAAAACTTTCTATAGTGTCGTACGCATGTATCAAAACAAAACGTTAGTTTCGTAGAGTTATTTTTACAACAAACAGAGGTACAAAATTCATGAACAAATAACAACCATGTTAAATTTTACAGCATGCTACATTTAGAAAATAAATCACTAAAGGTATAAAGCTGCCATTAGCTGAAGCATGTAATCAACACAGAACAAACTGCACAAAGCTATTGAAGAGTAAAACTTATAGATTTTTGTATCTAATCCTTTTCTTTCATAGCAATATTATCCTGTAGGATACAACATACAGATGTTTAAACATACAAATTACGTCAATATCAGACATACCCTTGGTCCCTGTTGTCCTATGTTGCCAGGTAACCCACCCGGTCCCTCCAGCCCCTACAAAGAAAAAGGCATCATTAACACTTCTTTAAAACTGTGCTTTAGCAAATAGTTTCCATTTCAAATCAATAACAAATTAGGTTGATAGATATTATAAGCATTGCTATAATAGGCACCATGGTAGTTTATATTGTTTGCATTGCTGTAATAGGCACAATTGTTGTTTACATCGCTGTAGTAGTCGCAATTGTTGTTTACATTGCTGTAGTAGTCACAATTGTTGTTTACATTGCTGTAGTAGACACAATTGTTTTTTACATTGCCATAGTAGGAACAATTGTTGTTTGCATTGCTGAAGTAGGCATATTGTTGTTTACATTGCAACAGTCGGCATAATAGTTGTTTACATTCCTATTGTAGGCACAATTGTTGTTAACATTGCTGTAGTAGACGCAATTGTTGTTTACATTGCTGTAGTAGTCACAATAGTTGTTTACATTGCTGTAGTAGACACAATTGTTGTTTACATTGCTGAAGTATATTCACTTGTTCTTTACATTGCTGTAGTAGACACAATTGTTGTTTACATTGCTGTAGTATACACAATTGTTGTTTACATTGCTGTAGTATATACAATTGTTGTTTACATTGCTGTAGTAGACACAATTATTGTTTACATTGCCATAGTAGGCACACTTGTTCTTTACATTGCCGTAGTAGACACAATTGTTGTTTACATTGCTGTAGTATACACAATTGTTGTTTACTTGCTGTAGTCGACACAATTGTTGTTAACATTGCCATAGTAGGCACACTTAGTCTTTACATGTCCAAGTGCTGGAAATCTTATAAAAAATGGGAACGACTTTTGGAAAGTACCCAAACGTCTCATACAAGTACAAAACGAACAAGTACTGAACATGTGTACCCTGAAGTGGAGACCCTACCTGGTCACTCATTATCAACCGCCAGGATTTACAAGAGCCTTATTTTCCTAATTCATCAGCCAATGTTATTTTTGTCAAAGGAGTGTAATGCAAATTATATCATTGGTGATTACAGTTGCTTCTTTCACAATATCCTGAATAAAAAATAAGAAACAAATGGTGCCTAATCTGTTATGTTATCCATACTTACAGTGTCTCCCTTCTGTCCTCTCAATCCCTCTGGGCCAGTTGGTCCTGGGGGTCCCTAATGTCAAACAAAACACATATGTTCTTACAAATTATAGAAAGAAGTACAAAACAACTTGAAATAATTCCCCTCCTTTTATTTGCCAGCCTCCTTAGTGAGTGGAACTTAGTCACCTGGTACAATCCATTTTTATGGTCTATTTACTTTTTAATGAATTCTCCCTCCCAAAACTCAAATGTTGGCAACATCAGAGTGTTCGAAGGTAATGTGACTTTTAGAAATCCTGAAAATTAGCATTGCTGAATTACTGAATGCCAAAGATAACCTACATTCCATGAACACTATCAAGGAGTACAATTCAACTAGCTTGGTGCACGGGGCTAGCAGAATTTAGGCCGGGGCAAGTGAAAATTATGTTTATTTACTATTAAATTATAGGTTGGGTTTGTAGATAGAATTTTTCAAAATCTGTCTGGGCTATAATTCTTTAAATATGAAGTTGTACACCCCTGACAATATCTATACATTGAAGTGTCTGTTAAGGCTCAGGAGAAATTCAGGAAAATAATTGTTTTACTTACTGTGTATATCTTGTGTTATTCATAAAAATCGTCTGTGTGGTACTTGAATTTGTAATCAATGCTTAAATCTGTGAAAATGATTGTACTTTTTTTATGAATATCTTGATAACTTACTGAAACACCATGTGATCCAGCATCGCCCGGCTCTCCAACATCTCCCTTCATACCCTGTAAAAGACAAACAAAGATCAAAAGTCACAAGTGTATCAATGCTTGATTGTTCATGCATTCTAAACTAGTTTAATACAGTGTTCATTTCAAAATTCTGTTATCAATACATTTTGCAAAAAAGATACGACTGTAGGCTATGCAGCCCATTTTTAAATCCTCTCTTGATTGGCAGTGTAATAAGGAAATAGAACTCTTTTTAAGATAGAGTCCCACCACTTTTATTCTGCACAGGCCTTAAAACATTATTTGCCCTATTTATTCTATGTTGATAAATGTAGCATTCTGATTTTGCAAACCAATTTTCGTGAAAATCAATTCTATATGCAAAAGGTATTGTCTGGAGTACACTGGAAATAGTACTTAAAATATACACAGATTGAAATAAAGAGAAAATCTTTACCATTGGTCCTAATTGTCCATCCATTCCAGGCTCCCCTCGGGTTCCATCCTTACCCTATACACAGAAACAATAATATCTGTGTCAAACATCAGTACCTAACTTCAGGCAATCATCCGAAATTCTACACAGGACAGGACTAGCTATCAGCTGTTTATTGTACCATGTTCAAACAACTGTCTGATCTTGCTGTAACAATTAGCTGCATAAACCAATTTCTAATTATTAAGCCTTGTAGTGATATGATACTGAAATTATGTATTTTGATATATTTCCAACTTTTCAACATTAATAATTTTTAAACAGTACTTAATGAATGATATTGTGTAATGTTTTCATTGAATTTAGTTGCTTTACGAGACAGCAGCAATTATCCTCTTGACAGTGGAAGACTTATTCCAGGTGACTAGTCAAACAAAAAACAAGGGGGTTACAAATACATGTCACATCAAATAATTGAATTTTGAATATTTCCCTTATGATAGACTTTTTCAGGTTATATTGTATAACCTATAACAAAAGACAACACAAAAAGGGATGGCATCGTATACTCCAATGTTTGGAGTGGTATTTTGTAATTCTTACTTCTGGTTGGTTCAAGTTGCTCAGCAATGAAATTACAGTGCAATGTTGCATGTTGTGCAAAATTCAATTGTTTCCAACAGAAAAGAATGAATATATAAACTACAAACTTTAAAGGGTTTTTTTCTAGTATATACAGTATAACCCCAAAATAATTCTGGCTATTCCTTAAATAACCATGCACAGATCAAGAGGTATGCTTAAACAAAATCGGAATAAATCTTTAATAATATACCATAGCAATAACCAGACTTGTATTTTTCTATCTAACCAGCAACTAATGAAAAAGTTCTTGCATGTTTTCTAAATTATAGAAATTTAAACATGTAAAGGGATTAAAATGATTCCTAAACAAAAAACTAGGTAACATTTCAGATAATTTTTTTTATACATTATGCATATTAAATTGTTTTGTTAATGACACATAGGTCCAGTCAGAATCTCTCATCACTTTGTCCATTGTACAGTATTTTTTCTTCTTCCTGTGTTTATGAGAGAAATGTGTAAAACAAGAAAAAACAGAAAAATACTATTTCATCCCAAGGGGTGTAGGATAGGGCAATTCGACCCTCAGGATTTTAAAATTGGTGCACAACCCTCAGCAATCCTCGAGTTTCATCCAATTTGATAGCCCCTTGGATGGAATTTCCGTATACTACACCCCTGGGCATGAACTATTCTTGTAGTCATCAACATCATTTATATCTTACTTACCTGAGGTCCAGGGAATCCTCTCTCTCCGTCGAATCCCATGGGTCCTGTTGGTCCCATGACACCATCATTTCCAGATGGGCCAGGAAGACCCTAAAAGGTAAAATCCAACTCATATGATATGTGATTGATCCTTTTTTTCACAAAGAAATGTAGCATCTCTCCAACTACTCTTAATTTCATTTCTAATAAAAATTTACAACACTGATTTTGACATGGAGATTCAACCTTTTCACCAAGAAAATACAAAATTTCTATAAGATGACTTTTAGACTTTTTTGAGAGGTTCAACTTAAGTTGTGCCCAGAGGTTGGAGTCAAACCTGTATATAACACACATACAAGAGTTCAAACACTGTCAAATGCTCCAAAACTTACGGCTGACTGGAACTATGGTAGTTCAAGATAATAATGTTCGGTACAAGAATAAATTGTAAAATAAAGAGCAACCATCGAAGATTTTAAAACTAATCCTAGCTGGGAGGGAACATTTTTGTATTAGACAATTTAACAACAATCCAGAAGTATAGATATGAACATCATTAGGACGAACAAAACAAAATACTATATGCGATCCTTATATAATATAGAATTATTGCCTTTTATCAACAGATAACTTACTGGAACTCCCCTTTCACCAGCTGCTCCGGGCAGACCAATGTCTCCTGGTACTCCCTGCAAGACAAATCACAAATTCGTCAAATGCGATCTATAATACTGTAAAGCGTTTATATTTCGCGGGGTTAACTAATATCCGCGAATTCTATATACCAGCGAAATTATCGAAAATATTAACCACTTTTACAGACCATATCACAACATGTTGAAGATACTTATAACCAAACGATGTTATGCAAGCTTAAATTAACTCAAATAATCGGACAACTGGCCAGTCCATGTGACAACACTTACATATAAGTGGCCATAGCATATTTATGTTTGCACAGTAGGTGATTAATTGATTAAAGTTTAATCCTACAAAAGTACATACACATTTGATTATCTTTCGAGTGAAGTCACTTGCGGATGACGACGCTCCGGATCAGCGTTTTCAAACGGTTTACCTGTATTTTGAGGTTTAACCCTTAAATGATGACACTCAAAATACTTTGCACGACACATGGGATTCGGTTGCACAGCGAAATTTAACCCTGTGAATACGTACTGAATACATAACCGCGAAATATTGTCCAGCAAATTTAAAGCGCTATACAGTATTTCATTGCTACTCAAGTTGGACACAGTGAAACTACCAAATGTTGTCCATTTCATTTGCATCTCTTCGTCGATCCTCATTTTATGAGTGCAAAAACAACATTTACAGTCCAGTCTGCACTGTTTTCGCTATACTAATTAGTGCTCACCTGCTCATCAGTGGATATTGGGTAGGTATTATCCAAGCAAATATGGGGTTACCTATAGGGTAATTAATTCGACTATTTGATTATTGAATTTTATAACCAGTTCTAGGTCTTCCATCAAAGTAACCAGTTAATTGTCTAAACATGACAACCTTACTAGTTTACAAAAAATGGTCTGTCACTAAACAATTTTTGCAGAACCCAAGTTAATTTTTGTCATCGATGGAATATTTTGACAATTCAACTCACCCCTTGAAATTACCTCAAACTTGTTTTTTACTTAACCACAATGATGGCAAGAATGGCCCAACTTGCATGCCATACATCCAGCAGCAGTTTATCTACTTACAGGGTTGCCTGGTTGTCCACTATCTCCCTGTGATCCTGCCTCCCCTGAGTGGCCCTAAATAAAGACAGCATTAAACACATATGTAGACATGGTCATGTACGCATACAGTTTCCAATATGGTTTCCTTTAACTTGGTCTTATTCAATAGGACAAGATTTTGAGTGTGACAAAGATACTTTAATTTGTTTATAATGTAATGTTAAAGAAAATATATTTAGATGATGTTCTTCAAATTATTTATATTTTCTTGGCTCTTGCAAACTTGCATTTTGACCATAACATTATCATATGATGGCTCACTTATTGCTTCTCCTGTTTTTGTATACAGTCAACCCTGCTCATGTGATCACCTCCATTAATATAAGAGACCACCTGAATAAAGAGACCACTTTTAATGTTTCCCATTGAAGTGATTTGATTGTGGAGTAAACCTGTATTAAGAGACCATCTGTGTTCAGTGACAATTTGTTTTTTACTTTATAAGGTCAGCCTTAAAATACAGTTTTGAATAGAATTTCCCCAAAATGTAACACAATATTCAGATTTAACTTCTTGTGAAGGAGACACAAGTCACTGTATTATACGTACCGGTGGTCCCATGACTCCCATCTGGCCTGGCTGACCTGGGATTCCTGGCCGTCCCTGGAAAAAGAGAAGATTTAAGTTAAATTAAAGTCTTAACTTGGGCTTAGGAAACAAGTGATCACATTTACTGATGACTGACACCTCCTTATCTCATCTCCCTATCTGTGTATGTTGATGTATTGTTACACATATTTGTCAAAGTTGAGACCATAAGCATGCACCAGGTAAGGGACACATGATATTTTGGATGTGAGAAAGATGCATTTTGAAGGATACATCATAGAGTGTACACATAATGTCAAGTTGAATCCTTGATAACTTAGTGTGAGCAGAATGTTTCACAGAGTTATTTCTGTATTTGTATAACAGTAAAACCAACCTTATACAACCCAAATCAGTGAAACCCCACCTTATACAACCCAAATCAGTGAAACCCCACCTTATTCTGCCCAAATAAGTGAAACCCCCAATCAAATCGCCCTAATCATAGCGAAACCTCCATTATACTGCGCAAATCACAAAGAAAAACATGAAGACTATTCCCAGGAAATGTGTACTGTCAGCTGGCTAACCTTAAATTTATGTAATAGGCTTGATTTTGCAAAGTGATGTTTTCAAGTAATTTTGACAAAATTACAAATATGTAGAGTTGAAATTTACGGTTTGGAGTTTGTTAGGTCTGTACGGTTAGATTGATCTTCAATGAACATAAGTCAATGACACATGCCACCTTAACGTGTCAAGGATCAACTGAACGACATAAATGTTCACTTACAGTCTCTCCTCGCTCTCCTGGTAATCCCAACAGACCGTCCTTTCCTGCCAGACCCTAGCAAAGAGAATTATATTTGGGCATGTTAAATATGATATTGAAACTAATAAAACTAATTTTAACTACATGTTAAAGCAGAAATTGAAACGTCCTTTTGAAACAAAAAGACATTTTATAACAATTGTGAGAGTAAGAACTTCAAGCCGTAGGTTCACTTCTTCATCTCTTATTCTCAAATGTTGATGAAATATATATTTTCATGGAAATCAGTTTAAACTTGCAATTTTTTCCATATCTATAGTATTCCAATATCACACATATGTTAATTTAACATTTTGATATGAAACTAAACAATTAAACATCCTTCATGGTCCCAGCAGATCCTATAAAGCAGTACAATGTAGTTTATGTTACAATACATTTGTGTAGATCATTAAAAAAACAAATTGGCTCATCCTTACAAGAAATTTCATGGAAATGATACCACACAGATTACAGTCCAAAAACTATTTCCTATTTAGACATTTAGTGAAGTTCTTACTAGTTACGTATCTTATTATTCTACAAAATTTAACTTATTATTTCTACTACACATCGATGGACAATGTTTGCTAAAAGAAATTGTAACAATACCATCAACCAATCAAAATTAAGAATGTATCCAATAGCATAATAAAAGCAAACAAAATCTAGTCAAGATTCTGTTACTTTTCAGAGATGTATTTTGGGACGGCAGAAAAACAATAAAGAAAAAAAATGTCCCAGCTTGATGTTAATTAAGAAAAACAAATATTTACTGGAGGTCCCATGGGGCCCATCAGTCCAACTCCTCCTCGGGTTCCCTGGAGACCCTGCTCTCCCTGGAAGCCTGGTGGCCCTGGTGGACCACTCTCTCCCTTGGCTCCAAATGGGCCGGGCATGCCCTCCTTTCCTCTCTCACCAGGTTGCCCCTATAAAGGAAAATATACTTTTGTTAGATCATTATATACTACTCTTTTGTTTTTTAGCTTCCTATTGGTACTAATTTAAAACAATCTTAGTATTTTTGGCTAAACCAACTCCAGATTTTGGTTCTACCTGCTAATCCTGGCTATAGTTAATTAAACGCAAAACAAGACATCAAAAGTAATACAAATCCCCTTGAATAATATATAATATGGAAAATACAATGTTTGGTACAACGACAGCACTTCATGAACAGCAGTTTTGGTTGTGTACTTTGCGTTTCATAAGACTTAGGAATACATTTTTACATTTTTAACATAGAAAGACTATTCTGCAGCATTTATGAAATATAAACACAACACAATGTCAATTATACTGAATGGATAATATAGATATTTGAAACAACATTAAAAACAAAAGTTTCATTGCAAAGAGTAATAATAATCTCTGAAGGTATAAGACCTTTTCGATTCAGTAAAATAGACAAAGATATATATACTTACTCTCATTCCCCGCTCTCCACGATCACCACTTTGGCCATTTAAACCCTACAAAACAAATAATACAAATCTATTAAAATATATATTATTGATGATTATCAGTCAAAGGGATTGACACAAGCTCTCTTAACTTATTAGGCCCTTACTAGCTCAACGAGTATCCCAGCTTTTTTCTTTTGACCCTTATAAACAAACTTTAAAACATAAAAGGAAATTTGAAAATTATCGTGACTGGAAATGTGCTTGTTATCCAGTAGAGATAACGATAACCATCCGTTGGTAAAAAATCTATTTTGTCAGAAGCATGAGTACAAATGAAGTTATAAACCTTACCATTTTGCCTCTGGAACCCCGTCGTCCTCGACGTCCTGGTCTGCCAGATTCGCCCTGTCATGACAGAAAACATGATGTTACATGTTTTATATTTCATAGTGGAACAATGGCATTTGCCCTTACAACCATCTAAAGTGAAAACACTTTCTCTATGCATCAAAGTAGAAAACTAATGGGCTACACCCACAAGCTAAATATGTATAAAACCCAATAGAACTCATATCATGGTCACTTAACTACTGTAGAAATGGATTTTTGTGTGTGTCTGGAAATGTTCGTATTGTTACTCTTCAAACTGATTGCGGTTTATGCTAGTATATTTAATGTGAAAATGGGAGCATTTCCACACCACAAAACTTTCAGTTTTACAGTAACAACGTCATCAAATATTTAAATATTATTAACACTCAGCCATACAATTTAGAGGCAACTTCATCATAAGAATTTGTTATCAGTGTAATAGAACTTTTACGGAGGAAAATCAATAACTATGTGAATTCAAAGAAATTGGAAAGTTATCGAACTAACCTTTGCCCCCTGTGGTCCAGAGAATCCTGGCATCCCTGGAATACCCATCTGACCCTGTCAGAGACAAACAAAAAACCAGTGACTTAATTTTGTATACAAAATTGGACATGGGAACACTTTAAGATACTGATACATGCTGCAGCTATTTTGCAATTACTTTCCATTATTTGCTACATAATAACCATTAAAATGCCAATCATTATAATTGTACATGCATAAAAGCACAATAACAAGGGTTTCAATAAGATTTCAAGTTGTGTGTATCCGACACAAAGTACGTGGTTAATTTCAGTACATTTCATAGTACATCCTTACCATTATTTTTATTCGTTCATGGAAGTAGTCGGTGAAATGTCTGTAGTATACGTAGTAGGCTAGTTTTACACACTAATTGACCATGTAAATGTTCACAGCTAAAAACCAATCCTTTTTTCTTTTTACCTTTTCTCCTGATGGTCCCTGTGGCCCATCATTTCCTAAAGCTCCAGCATTACCCTTAAAATAGAAAGATTATAATGAGGCATGTAGAGATTCCTGTGCTGCAATATACCTACATACCAATGTTGATCAAAAATATAAAAAATATGTCAAGATCTACCAATTTTGAACATGCCTAAAGCAACTTTTTTTTTATCCAATCGGAAAATATGGTGAAAGATCCAAAAAAGCAAACACTTGCATAAAGTTTTGTTAAATTTCTCCAATCAGTTCTGAAGTTATCAGTCAGTGAAGAATTGGTGGACAGACAAACAGATTTCTGTAGAACACCTGCCTCATTGACAAAGATATCACAGTATACTTGCCTTAGGGCCAGGGATACCCTCAATACCCATCGGTCCTGCTGGTCCCTTGTACCCACGATCTCCCTTCGAACCAATACTGCCTTTAATTCCTTGCAGGCCATTGTATCCCTGAACAAATTCAAACATTCATTTCTCAATGCAGAAAATATAGTCTAGCAAACCTATCAGACAAAGCTCTTTAAGACTTTGATCATTTCAAGCTACCTAATAAACGTGCATGTAAAACAATTCAAAAGTTAACCTATACAATTCCAACACAAGATTACATTAGGGTACATTTTATACTATTAATTATTTTATAAATCTTATCTCATATTAAACAAAATAAAGAACCACATGTGATCCAAGTACCTAGCATTATTTGGTGTTTATGAGACAATTTCCTTCCAAAGGTAAAAAAAAAATCATTTCTTTATGAGCAAGAAGTAACACTAGGACTGGTTTGTTTATGTAACTGTTTTTACTTTAGACCAAATCTTCCTTCCAGCCAGTAATAACACTGCCTCCTATTAAACAAGCATTTTACCTTCACTCCTTTTTCTCCCACCGTTCCAAATGGTCCTGTATCTCCCTGTTGAAAAATAAAATACATATCCGTTTTGTTTCAATTTTCTCATTTATGTCATTTCATTCTTCCACAAAATATAGTCTAGCAAACCTTTGATTCCAAATTGAATTAATTCCCAACCACACAATTGTTTAAATAACTTTGAAAATAACTACAAAAAAACAGAGCGTAATACGCCATCGTGTAATATATGAAATATTTGGAAGTTATTGATGTTAAAGGAGAAATATTCCATCAATTAGAAGAGGAAAACATTTGTTTATCAAAACTGTCTGAGCTTTGAGTAAGCAACCTTCTTATTGTAAAGTATGAAGTTAATCTATAAATAACAAGCATACTGAGTACTGCTAAAGCAATACATGTCCCCTACCGGCCCCCACTAGCTATTACACTGTAATGATTTATAAATTTATAAAAATGGTGCCCTTTGGTGTTAATTTGGGAAAATGAAACGTATACAATTAGCTTGTAACTGTTTTTAATGTAAAAATAACACAAGAAATTGTAATGTTAGTATTATGATAGAGGAATTATATAAAATAAAATGATTGTCAACCCTGAAACTCAAACGTGTACGAGATATTATGGTCCTGTGTATTTGTGTGAAGTTTGACCAAAATCCTTCAAGAAATGTAGCCGCTAGAGCGCTGCCAAACATTGGTGTTACGTACACGTGTACGTACGTACGTTCAGGAAACCTATATCATTTTCCCTTCATTTAAACGGAAAACAAAATTACTCAAACACTGATTTAATCACAGATGGGACGCCGGATTAGCCACGGATACCATCCAGCATCATTTGTGGCAATCTGTAGTGGTCTGTAGCTGTCCGTATTGTATCCTGAGTCAATCATAGTAGTACTTGTATATCCTTGACAATTTTGAACATGATAAAAAATTCACCACAGATCAGACAAACATAGTACATCCTTACTGATCCATAGTAGAACGTATTAATCCGTTGTAGTCCGTAATAAACCATAATTAGTCACAATACATCCCCGGCCTCAAGTCGCAAAGGATTGGAACGATTAGTTACGGTGAGCTACATACTTGTACTAATCCGTACTAAAATTCAAATTAAGTTGTGGAATGAATAGGCGAACGCTGGAGTTTGTATACGGATTGCTTACCGTGGCAGGTCTGTGGCGCTCCGTAGCGAATTCTTACTAATCTGTGCCAGACCGTTCCAATTTGTGCTAACCCATACTAAAATCGAAGCGAACCATTGTTAAACCGCAGTGCAAACGCCTTGACACGTGTCGTTCTGTACTAAACAGTACCGAACCGTAGCAATCCGTAACCCTCCCCGTTGTCAACTAGCCCCTATCCGTAGTTAAACTGTTGTGCATCCATAGTAGACCACGGATATAGACTATTCCGGGGTCATCCGTGAGGTTCCATCCGTAGTGGATCCTGCGAGGCAATCCATGAATGTGTGACCCGGGCATGACATAATGCAGCTGACAGTCTGCTCACTTGAAAACATAATTCGACCCATTGAAAATGGACATATAAAAATTATCTGGCGTGTAAGTAAAGACCAGATATATAGTCTGTTTGGTCTTACCTTTGGTCCCCTTGGTCCCGGATAGCCTACAATACCTTGGATTCCAAGTGGACCCTGAAAGGAAATCGATAATCTGATTTTATCTTTCCACACAATACTCTTAGCTGATTTTTAATAAACAGCTGACAAAAAGTCAGCGAAATTTCAACTCTCTTTTATTTAATAAGAATATTTATTTTTCTCTGTGTTATACCATCGAAGATATCTTCTAATGACAAAAGTATATGGTATATGTCCTTACAGTATCTCCCTTGGTTCCAACCTCTCCTGGTTGTCCTGGAACACCCTGTCAACAAAACAGATCTCAACATTAACATTCCGTTTAATTTTTCTAATTTTGTGTTTACTGATATGAATGATGACCATGATTCTTTGCATCTGAATGCCTTCAGAAGTTCCAATTCTTTTGATAACTATTCACATTTTATAGTTTTTACTTCTGAAATACAATTTTTGATTTAAACAATATTATCCTTTAATCAGTTTCTTTGCACTCAAAACTATTCATTATGCATATCCTATGTTTGATAGAATTAATATAATTAGGAGCAGACTAAAACATGAGAATATCATGGTGATAAAATCATTTCATTATCCGATAGCCAATGAGAGAAAGCTCCCCGAACCTCCCACTTACGGGTGTTCCGATGGGTCCAGGCATGCCAGGAAGACCGGGCTTTCCTTGTGGGCCAGGAATTCCCTGGGGGCCAAGAGCTCCAGGGGGTCCCGGTGGTCCCTAACATAATCAGAATTTCAGTAAATTTCAATCTGTTACACAGAATCCACCATATCAATATTGAGATTACTTTTCAAAAGAACATATAACCTTGACAGTTCATATTCATTTATGTATCAGTTATCAGGTATCAGTTCATGTTCATTTTACAAATCTAAATCCTCAAAAAGACATTTGATGAACAATCGTGAAAATTGGTACATGTATTAACATTAATATAAACATATTTAACCGCAATCTCTTCTCAATATACATTCACACAACCAAAATGCCGAAGATTTTAAATCAATGATTCCTGTAAATGAATATATGACAATGAACAGAGGGTCAATAACAACATACAGTTGGTCCTGGAGCACCAGATTGACCGGGGGCTCCTGGGGCGCCATTTCCTCCCTGAAAGTTAAAACAGTTAAGGTAAGCAGAATTATTACAAATATTCAGTTTAATTTAGCTTTGTTTTACTTACAAATAATCTGTAAATCTACTACCATATAAAAATATACATTATATGCATTTATTGAAATAAGTGTAACTTTATGGCAAAATGTGGCGAGACATTACACATTTAGAGAGACACTGTATTTTACCTGTACAGTGATGAAGAAATTAATTAATTGAAAATACAAGTGACAATCTATTCTGCAGAGAGAAGCTAACGTTTTCAATGTTCTATTATTACAAGAAGTTCTAAGGGTTATTAATAACCAAAAATATCTGTGAAAAAATAAGTATCAAGTCACATTACTTAATGTAGTTTTTACTCTCTATCAACCCGACTGAAATCCTGACAAACATACCTGGTTTCCTTTGGGTCCTGTTGGTCCTTCAGTTCCTGAGATTCCCTAACGATATAGGAGTTTAAATGTTGAATATCACCAAATCTTAATTATTTCACAAGCATGCTTTAATTATTATTGGATGATAGACACTACTTCAGTTTTAGCCCTTTTTCGTACTCTTTTTAGAATTTGTCTGGAACCGTTTCCCAATACAGCGATTAAGCCCGGACTGAGTTATCAAGATAAACATCTCTACAATGATAAAATAGATCTTACTTAATCTTCAATAACAAGATTATTTTGAATACAAATACTTAACATGTTCATGGATTAGATATTCATCAATGATGGGCTTATGTAGAGATGAATATACGATTATATAAACCTGAACAAAAATTAGACTAATGACCTGCTGTTCCTAAAAATAGTGATACAGAGTGAATATCACGCATCTCCGATCTCAATGTAAATATGACCTAACCAACTAGAACACTGACAGATCAGTAAGGGCCCCATCTTGTAGCAATATATCCCCCATAATCATCAAGAAGCAATCTGCCCATATAGCTGTGCTTAACATTTGACATTTGGACTTAAAAAAATCGCAAGGAAGCAAAATATACATTTTACATGTACTTTGATGTGGGTCTTTTTTCTTTCCACCTTCATATTTCCTGGGCTAACAGAAATGTAAATGACGGTGCAATACTTATTTGTTAGCTTTGATTTGTTTTATTTCACCTTAAATACCTCCCCCATCAAGAGCCAGTGTCAAAGTCAGAGATCCACTTTGTCTTTGACATTTGGACTCAAATAACCTTGACCTTTAACCCAGTGACCCTGATATTTGGTCAGTTGATTTATTCTTTAATTCCGACAAACCTTGCTTCATAAAATCAGAACAAAATGTTCATCAGTGAAAAATAAAAAAACTTGACCTTGACCTTGAACCTTTGGACCCTGTAACCTGGACCTTTGGTCAGTTGACTCCGTGTCAAGTTCAGAACAACATTGCTTCATAATAACATAAAAAAATGTTCATTAGTAAAAGGATACAATGTTTTATCTTGACAATGACCCAGTGACCTTGACCTTAGGTCAGTTGACCCCCCTGTTAAATTGCAACCAACTTTGCTTCATAATGTCATAACAAAATGTTCATCAGTGAAAGGATACAAAATTTGACCTTGACCTTTGACCAAGTGACCTTGACCAAGAAGCAATCTGCCCATATCATAATTGACAGTTGACTCTTTGTTAAATTCCAACAAACTTTGCTTCATAATGTCATAACAAAATGTTCATCAGGGAAAAGATACAAAATTTGACCTTGACATTTGACCTAGTGACTTTGAACTTTGGTCAATTGACTCCTTGTTTAATTCTGATCAACTTTGCTTCATCACGTCATAACAAAATGTTCATCAGTGAAAAGATGCAAAATTTGACCTTAACCTTTGACCTTGACTTTTTACCTTAACTGAACATCTTGACAAAGTTTCATGTATATTGGTCAATAAATACCAAAGTTATAAGCCATGAACAAAATTTGAGGACAGACGGACGGACAGACAGACAGACAGACAGGCAGACAAAGTGATTACTACATTCCTAATTAGGATGTAGAAAAAAGCATTGTCATCTAATATTGCTTAAAATCTTCTTTCATAAGACTATCTCGGATGCAAGTATTTTTCATATTCTTTAGGTAGATATCACTTACATCTTCAATAATATGGCTACATTTGAATTGAGTACTCGATCTATTTTCTAAATGATTTATCTTTTAATGGACATTATCTGGAAAGAGTGGGAATCCTCTTGTGACCATGCTTTGATAATGTCACAAAGGTACTCACTGGTGGTCCAATGCTGCCGGGCCTGCCACGAGGTCCAAGGAATCCACGTGCTCCCTGGAGAAATATCATGCAGATCGAAACATCACTTTTTAAATTGTTAACCACTAATTTCACAACAAAAAGTGATTCAGAAAATGTTCAAATATAGAGAATATTTTGTGATTTAATTTTTTATTTTCTTCATACTTGAATATATGAAAGAACCCGAGAAAAAGTGGAACTTTAAAGTCCAAGCTGAATCCCTTGATTTAAATGAAAATAAACATCATGTGGAAAATAAACCTTTGGTATTCATTAATCCACCATTACACCTTAATTAAATTAAACAAAGTGTTTGCTAATTCAACTCACCATCTCTCCTGGAGCTCCTACAGGTCCGCCCTCTCCTGCATCTCCCTTACAACAGAAAACACGGCGAATTTAAATACCCTTTTGAAATTAAAATAATCAACTCAGTTCACAATATAAAAATGAAAATGAAATATTGCAAAATACTCCAACATGCTATCAAGTCTGATCATGTTGCATCTTTTTCAAAAACTAGAAAATGTCTTAAGAGAAAAATGTTGCAAACTCACTGCTAAGTAGTATATCATTGTTTGACTTTCTATAGACAGTAATGGTGACCTTGATTTTGACCCTCAGACTCTGAAATAGGACGTTACTTCATTGGTCAATCTTCTATTTATGACTTCAAGTAACAATGCTTTGCAACATCATCTTCCATTGTGTCATCATAGTTCATGGCAATTATTACCCTGACTGGAAACAGAAATAATGCATTCAAAGAGAAACAAAGGGTTTTCTAGATAAAATGTCTGATTGTTTTGGGGAAAAAAGATCCCCTAGCTCGTGATGGTTGATTATCATGTTTATTTAAGTCTCGTCAGTTAACTTTAAAACTATAAAAGACACTCTGTAAACCTTGTGTCTTTATACAATTTGAAGATTAAATAACTCGAGTTAGATCAACATGATAAGCAACGACTACTCGTTGGGAAACCTCTATATAACCTTTGTAAACTTTAACCTTTGTATGTGGCTGTATTTAGTTACCCAGGGGTCTGGCGAAACTGTTATTTATCTGACTCCTGCATGAGACCTGCAATTGTAATAATTCTGCATCTCAAGAAAATTTTGAAAGAAGATGCAAAGTGATCTTCCTTTGTACCCTGCCCGTCAACCCCTTAGTGGGTCAAGGGCCACATTTTTCCAATATCAGATCCTTACCTTGTTTACAAAATTACAATGCAAAAGTATCAAGTGTACTCCTTTTCGAGTACTCCCCACACTGTGTCACAGTCTGAGTACATATAACAATGCCAGATGGAGAAAAACAAAGCCAAGAGTTTGCGGGTCAGTTGACAAGGCATACCTGCTTGCCCTCTGGTCCTGTTGGTCCAGGCTGGCCGGAGGGTCCGGATGATCCCTACAGCAGTAAGGAAACATACAATCAATATACATTGTAACAAACGGTTAATCCTAATATGCATGGGAGTTAATATAATGCCCTATACACTTACACAATCAAATGCTTACAGCATCTGATGTTATGTACACCGTCTATTTAATTTGACATGACATTGTAGAATAGTATCAAGCTGTACTAAACAGGCATATTTCTTGATTCATAATGCTCAACATATAGCAAGTTTGCTAATAACTTTGTCTTTCGTTACAGTCACATTACTTAATAGGTACACACGCATCTGATTCAATAGTCCGTTAGTGTTTATGGGTATTGGCCATGGAAATCCTCTTTTTAAACCAAATGCATGATAATCAGAAACCATGAAAATAACCAATTATCTAAATATATATTATTTTGCTGTACCAGTATTACCCGTTTAGGATCAAGAGCTACCTTAACTTGCATGCATAAAATGACCCAATTTATGTACCAACTCCCCTCCTTCCAATATTTTCAGTCTCAGTTATTGTTTTCTAAACAATGTCTCATGACAATGCCTAAACCCCATAAAATTACAATTGCTGGACAATTGTGCCAATGTAATAAGGATTCATTGTTGATGGTATATAAGTGTTTATAACTCAAACATTCTAATATGTTTATTTCATGGTCCTAAAAGTGACTGCGCTTACATCATTCGTATATTTTCCCGAATTAAAGCGAACAAAGTAAAGGCATAACTTTAAAAAAGATAAAACACCAAAAGTCACTAAGAATGCATTAGATATTCAATTTTATCTTTGCCTAATCATGTTGAAATCATGACTATGCACTGACTGTATGATAGGACACCTATACAAATTCTACTGATGGCTACAAATGGTGCGGGACACCAGGCCAGAGTCTTTACAGATGAGGAGAGAGTTTATGTCTGTTTTGGGAGCCTGCATACTCACCCTCTCTCCCTTGGATCCTGGCATACCCATCATTCCTGGGAATCCAAGGTCTCCCTGGAAAACAATGAACACATTTCAATTCATTTCAATTCATTTCAAGTCATCCCATACTTACAGGTTCCTATGACTACAATCTACTGTATATGAGGACATTTTTGTCGCAGTTTAATTTCACTTTTTTTTTCGACCACTGCAATAAGGGCAAATATAGCATGACAGCATATGTAAATTCACAGCATACTCTGTATTGTAATTGTATGTGAAGGGCAAAAAGAACACTCAGCAAATAGGGACTTTATCATAAGAAGAATGAATATTTGACGAGGCAAACGTTTCTCGTTATACAGTATTACATGTATTCGCAAAATTGACATAATCAGCACCTGTCCTTAACTTACACTTATCCATAACTCCCTGTGATAACTACCATAGCTAATGGAATGGAATTAAGACTAGGAAGTGGATCAACGCATCAACACACAAGGACAAAATCAGAACTCAAAACTGATACCAAAAGACAACAGGAGCCGAAGTGACATTAAAATGAAAGAAGAGATACCTGTGTGATGCACAAGATATGTAAAAGTAATTAAAGATATATGGTAAAGTGAACAAGTGTTTGATCAATGCAGACTAATATATTCTACCACTTCTTTGTAAAGAAGGCAAAGAAATTTCAGCCTGAGAGTTGAGATATATCTGTCTGCTTCACACAGGAGTAACAAATCATATTTCTTGCACACTTTCAAATCATGGAAAATACCATTTTAATGGCGAACTCAATGCACCATGCCATCATCAAGGTTACATGACATAAGTGAAAAAATGAATGACGCTACCCTGGTTATACTGAAGAAACTGATGACATGATGGTGACAATTTTCTTCAACATAGATAGGATCCTTTCAGGTAGAAAACACTGGCCATGTCGATTACTTGTGAACAGTGTTTCTATCTGTAGTCTGACCAAGCATAAATGACACACCAATTGTGTGTTTACCAAATTTTCTTCAATATCACTGTTAACAAATTTTGTGTAAAAACATACTGCATTGCGACAACATGTATGATACTGTCATTAAATTGACAATATTAATATTATACATCCTGGATCGGCATTTCTTTTTTTTCAAATGACATGTTGCTAAGATTTTATGAAAAATCTCTGACAAATGGTGAAGAGTTCTGTGGAACCAAGGTCACATTTTCAAAGTGCTTTCACCTGGAGTAAAAATAGACACTACAAATTGCTAGACCAGGGCTCTAACAATTCAGCTTAAAGGAAATTTCCTCTACCCGACTCAGTAACAAGTGACTAGAAAGTTCACCACTGTGACATATACTCCTTCCTGTATGTAAGAACAATCATGTGAAGGATATATCAGTACACAGTACCCAGGTCTCTAAAGGACCCCATGGTAACTGCTATCAATCTAAAATCCTTGTAAGTAACGATTACTAGTTAAGTGCATTACAGAGCTCTAGGAAAACAACCTATAGCCTGTAGCCTTGTCGGTAACAAGCCACTAGCTGGTTTACCACTGTTACATGTGTAATAGCCTTTAGCCGTGTCAGTAACAAGCCACTAGCTGGTTTACCACTGTTACATGTGTAAAAGTCTGTAGCCGTGTCAGTAACAAGCCACTAGCTGGTTTACCACTGTTACATGTGTAGTAGCTGTAGCTGTCGCCGTGTCAGTAACAAGCCACTAGCTGGTTTATCACTGTTACATGTGCAATAGCCTGTAACCGTGTCAGTAACAAGCCTCTAGCTGGTTTACCACTGTTACATGTGTAATAGCCTGTAGCGGTGTCAGAAACAAGCCACTAGCTGTTTTACCACGGTTACATGTGTAATAGCCTGTGGCCATGTCAGTAACAAGCCACTAGCTGGTTTACCACTGTTACATGTTACCTTGTCTCCTGGAGGTCCCATACTACCACGTTCTCCCTCCGCACCTTCACGTCCCTGTAACGAGTAAAACACAAACTATAATAACAGTTTCAAGTTTTCATATCCCTGTAAATTCAAAGATTTCCATAGTGAAAATGAAAACACTTTTAAATGATCAGAATCACATTCGAGCATGATTATTATTATTTCTAAGAGACCATTTAGTGGCTTCCTGAAGGAAGCAAACTACTCTTTATTAACTCTTATTGACATTCATACCTTCCTGGTAATGACATATAGATAAGCAATGATTTTATTTGACATACAAGACCTAGACTGATGAAAACAATATCTAACATACATACATCCATACATACATATATACATATTATACCAAGGACTGCCTGAATTAAACAAGATCCTCATTTTACTTTCAAGTTTTGTTTAGTCAGACAAGCACTGTCCCCATAAGCTTAGGTCAAATATCAGTACATGCCTACCAGAGTGCAAACCCTAAACAACAATCTAGACCACAACAGGTATGGTAAACACATAGAAGTATTCCATAAACAGTGAATGTTGAAATGCATTTTCAAGACTATCAATGGTTCAAATTTAAATGTTTAAAAATAGAAGAAAAACTAGAAATTGATTTTTGTGAAGACAACCATATGTCTCCTCTTTTTAGTCAATATGCATATTTGGAAGAATAGAGAGGTCATATCAAAATTAAGGTGTGTAAATTTTAAACCATTAAACTTATAAATTATTCTGGTTCATGTTAAATTGTCTTAACAATATCTCTTTATATAGTGAGGCACGAGACCTGATTTCAGTACTCAACACTCCACCTTCCCAAAATACATTAATATAGCAAGTTTGGTCAGCGTAGGAGAAATAACATGGAACTTTTATACTGCATACAAACTTTGGTATAAACTAAAAAAGACATAAATGCCCCCGCTGCAATGTGAAATTAGTTTCAGTGTTCCATAAAAAGTTACAACCACTTTGATCTTGATACCCTGAAACATGCACATACACAAGGTACTACTCTTAAAGTCGATTTTAATATTCCTGTATTTTTTCTGTATGTTATTCCCATCCTGAAACACAAAGATGTAAGAGATATACCCATACTTGACCTTTATACAAAGTTTGGCCAAAATCCGTGAAAGAATGAAGTTGCTAAGTGTTAAAATTGAATCAGTTGATGATTTTTTTGTATATAGCAACAGTGACCTTGGCCTTGACCTTGGATCCCTGAAACACAACGATGTCCGAAGTATACTCATACTTGACCTTTGTATAAAGTTTGACCAAAATCTGTCAATGAATGAAGTTGCTAAGTGTTTACATTGAATCGGGACGGGACGCGTGTTTACATCGAATCGGGACACGACGGGACGGTACGGGACTGACATGGGAAACACTATATGCCCCTTCATTTATGGTGGGGACATAAAAATTAACAAAGGGCCATATCTCTTTATAAAGTGGGTTACGAGACCTGGTTTTAGAGCGAGAGTATGGTAAGTTTGGTCAACGTAGGTGAACATGGAACTTATTCTCCAGGCAAACTTTTGTATTAAAACTAAACAAAGGGCCATAACTCTTTATTTAGTGGGGCACGAGACCTTATTCCAGTGCATTGCATACCTTCTGTGGGTGATGCAGGTATACTTCAAGTTTAGAAGTTATGCCGGGGACAAACTTCAATATAAAAAATAAACAAAGGGCCATGACTCTGTATATAGTGGGGCATGAGACCTGATTTCAGTGCGATAGATTCTGCCTTTCAAAGATACATAAATATGTAAAGTTTGGTCAAAGTACGTAAAAAAACATGGAACTTCAATATAAAAAATAAACAAAGGGCCATAACTCTGTAAATAGTGGACTTCAAGTTTGATCAAGATATCTTTAACGGTTTCAAATTTACGGGCAAGACAAGAATTTACTGAAAGTGTTGCACTTATTTGACCTTTGACCTCGATGTGAAGGTCACAGTGACCTAATTCCAGTGCACTGCACACCTTCTGTGGGTGATGCAGGCATACCTCAAGTTTCATCAAGATATCTTTAACGGTTTAAAATGTATGGTCCGGACAAGTTGCAATTAGAAGAACCAGAAGAAGAAGAACCAGTACTAATACAATAGGTCCCCCTTCATTTAGGGCCGTAGTGGCCCAGTGGTTAAGGCATCTGACATTCTGCTACCACTAGCCCTCCACCTCTGGGTCGCGGATTCGAGGCCTACGTGGAGCAGTCGCCAGGTACTGGCCGTAGGTCAGTGGTTTTTCTCCGGGAACTCCGTCTTTCCTCCACCACCAAATACCTGCTACGTCCTTAAATGACCATGTCTGTTAATAGGACGGCAAAAACACGAACAAACCAAAAAAATATTCGAAGGGAAACATAAAAACAACAACAAAAACAGAAAAACTGCAGAGTTCAAACTCCAAGCCTTTACATTTCCATGTCTACCCTTTATTGAACAGCACTAAAATGAGAATCCAATTTATGGGCAGCAAAAGTCTACAAAAACAAAAACGAACAATAAAGCATATATAACTTGACAACAAGTGTAATACACTAAGGCAGAAAGAAACCTTCATCCTCTATATAAAAAGGAGATACTCCAAGTCAAAAAACTGATTTAAACTAATGCAGGAGTACCCTTTAACTGAATTCAATTCACCAGAAAAGTTTACCTTCTTTCCAGGTTTTCCTCTTGAACCAGTCAAACCTCTAGGTCCACTTAGTCCCTAAGAATATAGAAAGTATAATAAAATAATAGTAATAATAATAATTCCAGGTTCTTATATACCGCTTAATCACAACCTAGGTCGAAGGTCATCTCAAAGCGGTTCACAAATTACCATCAGTGGGTATTGGGCCTTTGCAACCAGTCAATATCTTTCTCAACTCCCTGGGGAGCATACAGCCGGTGCCGCCATTTCGGCAATCACAGCTGGCATTCAACCACATACTCATTTACAGCTGAGTAGACTGAAACAAGCGGAGTAAAATATCTTGTTCAAAAATACAACACAGTGCAATGTAAATTATATGCAGCGGTATGTTGATTTACTTTCACTCTTCAAGATATAATTTCGCCGATGAGGTAATTGTTCATCATACCTGTTCTCCTGGGTTACCAGAGTCTCCTTTAGAACCATCTACTCCCGGTGGGCCCTGGAAAAATCGAATGCACATTTTTACTATGGTACACATTTTTAAATAGTCCTTTTTTTCACTTTCAACAATCTTTAAAGGGTTGTGAGTGAGTGCTCCACAGAGAAGTCAGTTCGATGCATAGTTACTCTCGGGAAACATCTGAACGTTTTTGGTTCCCTTCCCCGATATCTTACTATACAATGTTAAGTCTGTAAGGGACTAGTGTCCTGATGTATAAAGAAGATGACTATCTCCCTGATTTCTGACAATATAAAGCAGCACTTACCACCGCACCAGGAAGACCAGTCATACCAAGGGGGCCTCTTGCTCCTGACATTGCCATCTGGAAACATCACCAAACATTTGATTACCGGTAGTTAAACATTTTAACTAACTTTATTATTTCTACAAAATCAGCATAAATAAGAACACATAGAAACGTTGGTCATGGACAAGAAAAAGTATTACTGTGAAATCAAATATTTTTGTGGTACCCAAATCTCGTGGTTTCCAACAAAACACCATTTCTCGCACATGAATTTGTGGATTACGACTACCCACTCAAATGGAAAATTGATTTGTATCAACTTGTAATTTCTTTCGTGGACCTTTGAATTCATGGATAAATATTATCCATGAAATTAATAAAATTAAAATCGCCACGAAAATGAGGGATTTCACAGTTTATCATTTATTCTTAAGGAAAAAACATATCAACACAAATGTTATCAACACATATACTGTTGAGCACTTATACATATTGTGTTCAGGATTATATTATATTATACCAAAGTTTTACAATATCAGACAAAAACATAATACTTGCAGGTAGGTTTATCAAACTAAAAGCACTTTTTAACAACTGAATTAAGATATTTTTGTCTACATATGTTAAGAACTAATGTACTATGAAAATGTCTACTTCTGAGAATTGTGTTGGTTTAATATTTTTCCCAAAAGATGCTGTGTTACACTAATACTATAGTATACAAGTAGTTCATCAACATCTTATAGGCCATATATCTGTTCAGCAGTGTGTCTGTGACCAGGATAATAATTGAAAACAATCCTTACCATATGCTGTTCCAACATGGTTCTGAAAGCTGCGGCCTGGTTGGAGGTTTTTCCCTCAGCTGGGAGCTAGAATGCAGACACAGCTGATATATCATTACAACGTTTACATATATATATATAGGTTTTTAACATCTTAAATAGCAAAATAAATAATATAAAACAACAAAAAATTGATTTGGGAATTTTCAAAAAAATATATATAAGATGGGAAAAACACATCACATAGACTATACTGAGGGGAAAACAGTGTTTTCAAGAAAACATGACATCAAGAAAAAAGTGACAATTAACAGCTGTAAAATCAAGTGAAATATATCTATATTTTTATGGAAATTGGAATGAATTACAGCCCCACATTTGACAACAAAATGACACTGCATTAGTATTTTTTAATTCTCTTTTATTATCATGTGCAATCCTCCCTTTAAGTAAGATTGTTCTCTTTAGCATCTCAGATGGAACTATGGTTCTAAATTCCTTACAATTCTAGACCAAAAAAACCCAAAACAAAACTACTTACTGAGAAAGAAATACAATGAATATTTAAAAAAAAAACTTGCTGAACAGCTCAAAGATTCACATTTCCATTGATCTGGAACCTGGATGTCAGATTGCATATATCAGCATAAATGACCTCTCATGCAGTAAATATAAAGTACCAGTTAAATCATAGTCTTGTATACAGTCATGCCTGTTCGAAAGAGCACTCCTTTCAGAGACCACCTGTGTTAAGAGACTGCTTTAAGGTCTTCCCAAAGCTGGTTCCTTAATCCAGATTTAACTGTAGTAAATATGAGTAGAACTGGTACAATGTTACTGTTGATGTGTGTGCTCACCCATCTTTGAATACATGGACAACAATATTGTCAGTACCTAACGTTATCTTCCCACGACTGTTTGCAATTTTGTAACATACAAACATTGTATATACTTTTTAAGACATCTGACATACAGTACTATTTTCTCCCACCTCTACGTGCATCCGATACTGGGATGAGTTGCATATTTCTCTCATATCCAGTCATGTGAGATAACGCTGGCCATGTAAGATATCCATGCTTGCCGAGTCTATCTTACTTGGGCTAATCACATCGCGTAGTAATACAAAAACTAGGAGGAGCAACTCCCAATGTCAACAACTTACGCCCTGCTCTGTATTTATTAATTGTATCTATAATTTCATTTATATTAATTAATTACAACATTAACAACTTTACAACAAAAACTTTTTTTTCTATTTTCATGAGATGTACAGTAAGTAGCGATGAGGTTCAAAGATGGTACTTAGAAAATGCTGTATGGAAAATAGAAAGTTGAATAACAACTAAACCATAGAGTTATCATGGAAATGTGTTGTTCTATGCGTGCAACAATGTTGCTGTTTGAGGGTATAGAGAATTCATTTCTTCTGCTATTTTTGTTTTTCAACCACGGAGAAAGTTTTTAAAAAACTGGAAGATGGCGACCGTCTGTGGGCATTGAGAGGTGAAGTATTTGTTTTTTAATGTAGATATGAGAGAAAAATACTCTCAAAGCTTCAGGTTTTACTCCAATTGATGATCCCCTCGAGAGGAATTCTCTATCCATCTATGGTAAATGTGAAAGAGTCTTATAATCCCACATGGGTGTACACAGTGACTTTTGCAAGTATAACGTCTCCATCAGATGACACCATTATACTATGAGGTTACAATCAGAAGCTTGTTAAAATATTGTTTCACTATGCTGATTGGCATGTGACACAACCTTTTGAACTTAAAGAGTTATTGCACAAACTTGCCATGAAGGTTTTGCATGGATCTCTAAATTTGAGGTATACCTACGAATTACTACTTTCTATTTTTTCCAAATATGACCATAGTTTGTGTATGCGTTATCTAAATACTTTGCTATATTTAACGTTATATGTGCATTGCCCTTGTCTTGTTTTACCCAAGAAATGATGGGAGAAAAAAAAATCAATCATTTTGTAAGTATATGGAATACCGGTACGCATATTTTACCCTCAGATGCATAATTTGGGTCCAGGCCTTGGGTAGAATATCCATATCCCACACACCTACATATATTAGATTCTATTAGTCAAATTTAGAAACGTATAGGATAATATACGAAACCTTACAAAACCAGGAAGACAATTTGTTAGCCTTCCATATCAGTAACAGGACTTACTGGGAGGATGAAGACATGACCAGGGGCTCCTTGGACACCATTGGATCCCGGTATACCATCACGGCCACTGAAACCCTGAAATTATCCCGTACAACATCATTTTAAATACATGTACATCAAATTATAGTAAAAGTTGAAATTCTTATGTTGTGACTATCAAACCAATCACGATGTGGAAGTTTACTGATTGGCAATGGTCTGAATATATATACATATATAGCGGACGTTGATATAGTGAACTATTATGTGACGTCATCATTTCTCCATCAAATAAACAGTCTGAAGAACCTCCTTGATGAGGTGAAAGCGCTAATGACTTGTTGATGAGATTTATTCTGTTCATGGTACATATAATACAATATACATATAATCTAAATACCTATATGTAACACGTACTGATATTCTTGTTCTAATTTACTACACGTGTATAAAGTGAGCATTTCCACATTTTCAATAATTTCTGCTTTTCTACAATGTAGTACAATATCTATAATATTGAGCAAGGGCACCCAATTATTTACAGCATTAGGAATCTGTTGAACGTTCTGTTCTATTTAAGTTACAAAAGCATAATTACACCTATATATATATGTTAACTTATTTTACTTGTAAGTTTGTTGATTAGAGACTTGTTGGTATATTAATCTTTCAGATTTAAATGAAGCCATACCAAAACTTTGTCACCTGTTGAAAGTTTGACAAATGAAATCCATGTAATCAGACTTAATACAGTTTGTGTGAAAAACTTTGGTTTCATGGTAAAATTCAAATTGATATTTGTAAGGAAATTAAGAAGTTAGAAGGAAATCATATTTTGTTCACAAATAAAATGACTTAAAGCACTTGGTAGTGACTATCATGAGCATTACCTGTTCCCCAGGGGGTCCTGCGGGTCCAGTTGGTCCGCGGGGGCCTGGAGGTCCTGGTGGTCCCTATAATGTAAAGTACCATAGTTAAAAAATAATAAAACAAACATTTGCTCAACAAGATCTATGAACATGATTTCATGCAATGAATTATAATAAAGTAGCAATCTTACACTGATGAGATCTTCATTTTGGTTCATTATCACATATATCACAAACTGACATCTCTGTTGGTAAAGGATACATGATAATCCCATGATCTGTGACCTTGTCCTTTTACCTCATTACCTTCAGAATACTTTTTGGTCGAGAACTAAAAACATGACCTCTACCATATACTGAAATTGAATACATTATCCATTTTGGCTGTCGAGATAGAGTGGTGACAAGGTCTGCTAGAAAAATAATACCAGTGAGCTCAAACAAAAACAACAGGGATTTCCATCTAAGATGGAATGTCCTAATTACCCAAATACATGTCTAATACTTACATATCTGTATGCGTAGGATACACCTGTAGATTGATCATACTCCACAAGCTAAAAAAAAATAAAAAATAGCAATATCTTGCTATAATATATTTTCTGAATATGGATAAATATGTTGTCAGTCAGGATGTAACAAAATTGCAATGAAACATTAAAATAAACTTCAAACTTTTGATCTGCAAGCACATTTTTACTGACAAGCACGTAATGCTGTAGAATTGAATCTAGCTGTGTCCATACTTTTACAGTTCTATATATGTTCTCATTTACAAAGAAAGTACTCTACAAATATTTGCAAAGTATTGAATCCATTGTTCTGGAAAATAATGTCTGTAGTGTACTTGATTACAATATTTTCATTGTCACGTACGTTACCACCAAAATAGTTGCTGCCATAAAAACAATCCCTCTGTATAGTGTGAAATGTGGTATAACATATGCAATTTTGATGTATGCACATATGGGTTCGGTTTTATATTGTTTTGTTTATTGTTCCTTCTAATAAATGAGGTCATTTAAGGATATATATAGTACACATGTGACTGTGACAAAATATGTATTATATTTGTATAGCACTGTAGAGCACCACCTTAGATTATTCTAAGGCAAATGCCACTGATTCAACTGAGATCTTTTACGTTTCATACCATGTAACTGACCCTTAATTTCATAAAAGAACTTTGATTTATACTGGAAGTTCATTTACCACTTGTCCATTCTGGTCAATGAGAAGGTCTGGCTCTGGTCCAGATTTTTTGTCGATAGGTATGTATTCTATTTCTCCCTCAGGAATCACTGGGAGCTGGACGACAGCACCAGACTTGTCGATGACCATACCGTCTGGGTACAGGATGTTGGAGTCAGACTTAGGTCGACCAACAGTTTCAGTATGAGGATCTACAATAGGCTCACCACAATCAGGGGCAATATCTGAGCAAAGGTTTTTGGCAACCTCAGGATCAGGTATTATCATCATCTCTTGGAATAAACCCTGCACAGAAAACAATTGTGGTTTTGTAAAATAGGCGGCATGTCCAAAGGCACAATAACCTAAATCTAGACAAACTGAATCAAAACTGTTAAGGACCATCAACAAATCAATAGATCTTTCTATTCCAACTCCATCAACACATTAACAAGGTAAGAGTGAATTATGTTTAAACAATAATATGCAGAGATGACAGATATCTACAAAATTAAGAACGGATTTATTTGTTACAAACGAGAGGACTAGACAGTGCTTATATTTTACATTTTTTTAACTGTTCATGCATATATACATTGCATGAATACATTGGCTTACACACAAATTAATTACAAGGTAGAAACATAAGTGTATGTTCATCACAACAGCATAGTAAGATAATATTTTAAACATACCTGATATAATGTTTCATCATCAAGATTAGATCCCATCAATATCGTGGTTTCTCGTGGAAATGCTAGGGGTCGGTTTTTTAGATCGATTTTAGCTCTCTCTTCACAGTTGTAGTAAACAATCAATTCACTTTTCTTGATACTTAGTCCTAACCTTGTCCAGCTGTGTGGGGGAGAGAAAAAAGGGTCAAATGATTAGTTCAATTCAATGTTTTACCAGGACAATAAATAAAAAATCCCAGATACGATGGCCCAGGGCCATTAGATTTGGTCTGTTGATCAAATTTCTATTTTCTTTCCTGACAGACAAGTGTAATATTTGAAAAAATATATTCATATCATGCTAATTGATTATTTATCAAATAAGCAATGGATAGGCTGAACAGCTTTGTGGAAATGACATTTTTTGGAACTGCCTAAAGTTCGCCTCTGGGCACGTACATGTACCTTTTCAAATCCCTGAACGACCAGGACTTCTGAAAACTGTTTTCTTTCCCAGTTTATAAACCTCAGACCTACATATATGCAGTGGAATTGACCTAACCTGCCTGGACATAGGTTTCTTAACAAGCCATTCGGATTGATATGTCTCGCCTGTGCCCCTCTTTGACCGTTAACGCACATGTCAAGTTTGGTTGGTCTAGTTTCAGAGAAACTAAGTTAAATGTAATACCTTAATGTTGATGGAGATGCTAAAAAAGTTGATGGATCTAAGGTGCATCTATGGTTTAAGATTGGTTGGTCTAGCACTTAAACTTTCAGTGAAATTAACTTAAAAGCAGGACTTAATGCTGATGCCGCCGCCGAAAAAGCAACACCTTAGTCTTGCTTCTGCTACTTAATGGCGGCGAGACAAAAGTAAAAAAAATACAGAAATCAGATTGTCTCAAGATTAAAGTGTTAATTATAAATACTCGCTAAATTTAAATCCATAGGTAAGTGTCAGATGATACCTCACAGACTAATAAAAAAACAGATCATTATCACTCATCAGAAAAGTTCAATTATCTCATGTAGTTTTTCGTAGCTTTTTAATTTGTACCTTGGGAAAATTTTATGTTTACAAGTGCCACTGATATTGTAAAAAGAATTATACAACATCAGCAAGCATTGTTGTCTTGTGAACAACTGTAGCAAGTTGGCTTATATTCATTTATGATTTTGGTCAGTTTCTAAATATGCTACAGTATTTTGAACCACGTGTGTATGTGTTCAACATCTCCAATCAGAGAGTCAGAAATGTGATAAACTTCAACAGTTACTGTAGCTGATTATTGCTTTTCAGCATTTTCAGGTTCCCCAACGTTTTCATGTCTATCTAACTCTCATTAGTAAATTTTAAAACTGTTTAAAGACACAAAGTTTACAAAGTATCTTTTACAATTCGAAAATTCATTAGCAAGAGTAAGATGAACATGATAATCAACCATCACGACTTTGGGCACCCTTTCCTTCCACAACATTCAGATGTTATGTCTAGAAATATGTGTTTCTCTTGGGAATACATAATTCTTCTTCCCAGTCGAGGAAACAATTGCTATGAACTATGACATAACAACAGAAGATGATGTTGCAAAGCATTGTTACCCAGCGTCATAATTAGAAGATTGACAATGAAATACCATCCAGGGTGTTACTCACTAGTAGGTAACCAAAAATCCAACAAGTCGAAAGTGAAGATACTTCAGGTGATTGCGGGAGACAAAGAGCTTATTGTTATTGTTAGTTGGATACTCTATGTCCACTAAAGAAATCTGGTGAAGTGAAAGGCTCGCACTTCCTAATGCAAATTTCTCAACATGTGAAAAAATATTAATTCGGCACAAATGTTTATTTCATATTTCAAAGTTTTCTTTTTTTGACAAAGTAACATTAAAAGTGAAAGATTTTTTATTCATTTTAGATCCTAAACCTTGCATCTTGTCTGAATTCATGATCTCTTTTTCTTTTGATCTGACAATTTAAAGGGATATTGAAAAAAGGTATAACACTGACCGGTTTCAGCAAGAGCACACCATGTGCTTGAACGTATACGTATCCCATGGTCTGTTTTTAGTAACAGTGACCTTAGAAACTTTTAAAACCCTAATGCACATCAAAATATCAAGTGTATCAACATGTCAAATTTTCAAAATATTAGTCTTTTGGATTCCAAGATAACTAATGTACCAGGTATATCATACTCCCCTGCACTATTTTAGTAACAGTGACATTGACCTTAGAAATGTTTAAACCCCTATAACATATCTACATCACAGTGTATCAACATGTCAAATTAAAAACAAACAAGAGGCCCAGAGGGCCTGTATCGCTCACCTGGATATCAAAGTAATTATATGGCAAAATATTCTCCAAATAAGATCCAAGGGAATAGACCAGACCCCAATGCCAATCCTTGTAGCAATCTGTATTAGATTTTTCATGCCCAGCAATTTTATGTATGGTTATTGGGTGGGGACCGTCAGATCCGTCAGACCCACGGAAGGGTATTGATATATTTGAAGCAGGTAGTGATATATGATATAAATGTGTTTACTGCCACCATTTCACGGTTAATGTTGCTATTACTAAAACTGGAACCTTGGCTTTGAGGTAGGAGTCTTGAACGATTAATTAAAACTTTCTTGCATTTTCGACGATATGCCCTTATTTGGCAATGAAAAAGAGGCATTACTCTGCGGAATAGCATTTAAATGTCAAAAAAATTAAATAATGTCCTTTTAAATCTACCTTACTGCTGAAACAGGAAAAACACGAATGTTTTGCTTACCGGGTAACCACATAGGACATGATCATTAGAGTAAACTTATTATCTAGAATTTTAACACAGTACATACATATAGCTTACCCAGAACTTGTGTCAATGTTCAAATCATATGAATCTTGCTGTCGGTCAACAGGGTTGTCTCCATTAAATAAAAATTTTGTTGTGTGTCCAACCATTAAACTCATGATTTCATTGAGCTCCTTGGAGTAAATTGAAAACAGTGTTGTGTCAACATCCGGACTTTTTTTAAAGATAAGAATGAGGGAAAAATCATCCACAGGAAGTCCATGGTCACCTGAAAAAGAATTTTGATTCAGTATTACAAGTTAAATAAAGTAGCAATGTTTGAAAATAACAAATTTCCGCCTTTTTAACCATAACTTAGAACAGTGTCCAAACGGAAACATACCTTTAACAGATTCCATACAATATGATAACACACTGCAGAAAATCTTTTGGCTTCTACCTATCTTCAGTCTCGCACTAAGGAAACTTGTCTTGATTTATGTCCAATATATTTTTAAGATTACATATACACAACAAATAAAAAAATAAACAATGTTTTGATATGTATGCAGTCATTCACAAAAATTCTGTGGATTTATATGTCTTGCTTGTCCCAGCAGCTTTGACCACCTGCAGCAATTACTGTTTTTTGAAAGTCAGATCAAAACAGAGAAACTAACATTCATGATGAGCAATATAAGCTAACTGAAATCATTTCAAGACCAAATCTGGGTTTTTGCTAGGTGTTTATAGGGCCCGGTACAGGGACCCATTCCCAATTGAAAAATGACCCTGCATTTTCCCAATTTCAGTCTTTATTTTCCCAATTAGATTAATAATCATGTTTATACAAATGTACAGTCATTATATGTGCGACATTCCTACCGTTCATGAACGAGCATTCAAAATACATAAATAACGAAAAATTGAAACTAAATAAACAAAAACACTGAAAAGTTATGTGTTTGTTTGTTGCTATACATTTTATTGTAAGAAACAGCTAGAAGAAAACGTTTTGCTAATCACATTTTAGTTTTTGACCCCCAAACTATGGTATTTTCCCAAACATGTATGTGTGGAAACATTGATGTCATTTCCAAACTATTGTCAAATGCTGATGATATTTTCCCAGTTCCTGCCCAGGGGCCCTTTCCCAAAATAATAATAGCTGGCAAAAACCCTGCAAATTGATTACTCAGGATATATGATTCTAGAGAGTAAAATGTAGGCCTTAGATTGTATTAATGGGTTCAGTTTGGTTGGTGAAGGACTTTACAGGATATATGATTCTAGAGAGTAAAATGTAGGCCTTAGATTGTATTAATGGTTTCAGTTTGGTTGGTGAAGGACTTTAAAGGATATATGATTCTAGAGAGTAAAATGTAGGCCTTAGATTGTATTAATGGTTTCAGTTTGGTTGGTGAAGGACTTCAACTTTTTGTAATGTAACATTTAACACACAGCTTGATTTATGCAAAAACCTTAACATTGATGAGGATGCTTAGTCTCTGGGCCATAAACTGTGGCCTCATTCAATATATCTTATGCATGTTTTATAATGAAGATGGTAAGTTGTAACTATGGTCTAAATTTGGTTGTTCTAGCGCTTCTGCTTGTCTAAGAGGCAAAAACTGAATGTACCCACCACTGCCATCTGTTGCAGGCGAGTCGAAAATGGATACAACATAAATCAAACCATTTTTTTCCACAGCAAGACTGAGGAAGGTCAGGTCCCCCATTGTATCCCAATTGGCAACTTAGGCCGTTTTCGTGTAAACGGTCAAACCGGTCGGACCACTGTTGTTCGTTTATTAGATAAGGTAGAACCTAGTAATATTATGCTACTTTCAGGCGAGCCTTAACAAAGTCTTGCAAGACCTGCTTAAACAGTCGCAGGTCCGCCAGGATTTATACATTGTTACATTTTTAAACGGTCAAACCGGTTGTTCGCATAAACGAACAGGCTCCTAGGTATGTCTAATACCAGTCTGATGTGAAAAAAGTGTAAAATGTAAAATTTGTACTTCAAAGTAGAAATTTCATGGATAGTGATGAGCACTGTACAAACATTTATCATCATGAATTCACCTTCATTATGACAAGTGAAAGTCATATATCAGCTAACTTTTATCAGTGGACAGTATGATTTTTACCAGAACCAACTATTCCAAGAAATGTATTCCTACTGGAAAGGAGGCAAGCAATATAATAAGAAATACAGAAAAATGTATATATGGCATACAAACAATCTCAAAATCTAAAATTGAACAGACTTTTGTGAATATTTTTTTTTTTTTTTTACTTATTTATTTGAATTTAATAGGTCACTTACATTGAAATGTATGTCACTACACAAGTATAGGTTTCTTTCAACGTATTTTGGGAAAAGGAGCCCAGGTCGAAATTGGAAAAAGTCATTAGGAAAATACAGAATTTTCAAATGTTGATACTAACATTGTGAAATGGAATGCATTCATTATTTTATTACTTTCTTCTTCTTCCTCCTCTTTTTCTTCTTCTTTTGCATAATAGTAATACAGTTTATCTTGGTGAATTTGGGAAATTGGGAGCCATTTTTCACAAAACAAAACAACTTTCTTTCAATGAGTCAATTAATACAAAAATATAAACCAACTTACCTCTAATAATGTCATCTACATTAGCAGTTAGTGATGTTGCCTGAGTAAATTGCGTAGCCGTATCCGTTTCATTTTGATATCTTCCTCTTTTGTCACAAAACCCACGAACAGTATTTACATTTTGGAAATTGTCACCAATGGCCAATAGATCAGACAATACATAAACTGAAAAACAAAACAGAAAACATGTCAATTTCAAAAGTGAAATAAAATATGGACACTCATACACATACTCATTTGAAATCTTGTAAATACACCTTGTACGGTTGTACACATCATTTTGCTTTTGCATTCGTTTTAAATATTACTTAATGTTGAATATAAAATAAAACATTTCTGAAAAAAAAATCTTTAATTTACAAAAACTGTTTATATACCGGTATATATGTAACTAAACAATAAGCAGATTGAAGTTAAGTGGGTAATTTCTTTCAGTATACAACCTTGAATCAAGGAATTTGAAAGGAGGTAGGTAGGTGCACATAATTATATTTTATTTACCATAGATATGTTTTATACAAACAGATCAGTGGTGGCTGAATTAATGAGGCTTAACAGTTTAACAGTAGTGACTTAATTTTAGACAATACAAGCATAATCTGCCAAGACTAACCTTTTATATTGGGGTATAACTGGATAGATGATTAACACTAAAACAACTGTTATATCGGAAATTTCAACTGGATTAATACTTATTTATATCCAGATTTTTTTCGCTCATTAATTTAACCCGTCATTAATACTTTATTATGTACTTCACATGTTATTCCTATGCCTATTCAGCCCTTTTTCTCTATTCGAGATCCAAACCAAATGCATTACAGAATCTCTAATCCTATTTAACTCATTTACCACTGAAGACACATTTGAACTCTTCCAATTCATAGGTTGGAAAAGTTCCTTATAAAAGTTTCAGGGGTGAATGAGTTAAATGTATGCCTCATGGAGTTGAAATCAGCACATGATGACGAAATCTTGTTAACCCGGATACTTTCATAGTACATAGCGCACCTGTATATGTTGCGGGTGGTTAGGCAGTGCAATGGATAGCATATTCACTTTTCTCATATAGTTAGAGCGCCAGGGTTTGATTCCCGGATCAGATGTGAAAAGGTATTGATTCTCCTGCTCAACTGTATGGGTTTAATAAAGCCCTGTCTGTTCACTCTTTTGCAACACAAGACTTTCTTATGATTTAATAAAACTATTGATTCAACCACTTCCGAGCAGTTGGAACATAGAGAATGCATCTTTAGAGTGAGCAAAGCAGGCCAATACAGATATTGTAACTTAATTAAAATTCAGCAAAAATGTATGGTCAATTATAAAATACTGACATTTCCGACTCACCAGATTAACCCATTCACCCCTGAAATTTCATAATAAACTATTTAAACTTTTGAATTGGAAGAGTTCAAATGTGTCTTCGGGGTGAATGAGCTAAAAAAAACCTGGAAAAAGTGGAACTATGTAGAATTGTATTTTTTTGTTATGGATATAGAGACATTTAAAAAATTGAGACAAGGCACATACTATGGACATAAGACTCTTGTCTCTTGGTGTTGTGTACTTAAAGCCTCGAGAGTAATTTATTGCACATGTAGTTAATTGTGTTTAAAGTTCATTGTTTTGCATTAACAGATTAGGTATGTCTGTGGACAAATGGGTCATAACTTGAAAACATTTGAGATCCGCACCCTATAAGTTCGTAAATCATGTATTGGAATTAAAGACCTCACATTGTGAGATACATATGTATTCATGCTATCAGGATTGGCCCTTCCATTTGCAGTCCGGTTTCCACTGGACTTAGTCCTGTAGTTATAACATTGAAACATAATTGATCCCCACCCTATAACCATATACACACCTGCTTCTCATGAAAAGATGAATAACCATACATGTAAACATGTACCACTACGATTATCCTGGGATCCAGCCATACCCTTGGAAACTTTGTTCCTGGATCATATCATGGAAACAGTGGAGATCCAATTACATAAATTGTTAAGATTTCCAACTGATAACCACATGCACAATTATTGCTGGGCATGAAGAGATAGTCACAATAATGCTACCAGGATTAAGCCAGGAGTTTGGCCCAATCCTGGAGAATAAGTCCCTGGACCATAACATGGAAATATTTGAAATCGCTGCCTATAACCATATACACATATATACTAGTTTTAACCATATTCTTAATAAGACATCCTTTGTGCTTTTGACCTGAAAATCATTTTTTTTTGTGTAAAGGAAGAACGTAGCTCAGCTCAGTATTTTCACTCTGATGTTTATTTTGAATTTGAAAGTCTACTTCTCCTGAACAGTTGATCATAATTCAGCCATATTTACTATAATGTATCCTTGGAACCAGGAAGTTAAACAATGTGTAAAGGACGTTTGTTGCCACTTGTAGCTAAGAGACCGACTGTTTTGCCTTATATATATGTAAATATTTCACTTTTAGAGTAAGATGCTTTATGTAGCTACTATTGTGACACCATCAGTGATACAGGGGATATTTAGTACGACTAAGCATTCTATAAGTGAGGCTTTTCTCCTACCTGGATATAATGTTTATGTACACAGACTCAAGCTTGGAGGGCAGTGCTGGTTTTACCAACATAAAACAACAAGAGGTGTTGTCAACTAGCCCTTGTTATCTAGAAAATGTGCTGAGGCAGATATTCTACAAATGGCTTTCAAAATATGAAATGACTTTCAAGATAAAATGATATTTCTGTCCTGGAAAGAGTGATACTTTTAATGTAACATTAATTAAATAACAAACACAGAGAAGAATTAGATGTTATATATGTTTCCTAATTGTCAAAGAGGCAGTTGAAGTTCCATCTAAGTTAATTCCATGTTAAAAATAAATATATACCATTGTCAACATGACTATATGAATCAATGAATCTATGAAATATGAAATGACTGTTTATAAACTTGTGATAATGCAGGGCATTTTGGTATTACCCTGCATAGTGTATTACCTTGATGAAAACTATGTGCTGAAATGTCAAAACAGTCACATAAACAGTCCCCTACATTGAACTTTCCACCCTTCAAATATGTACAACCAATTTCAGTCATTTTTCATATCTGAAACCATAATCTTGATATATCGACATAGTCCGACTGTCCATTTTCAAAACAAAACAAAATTGATCGAGGATGGGCTTATCTGAATTTGAATCATATATTGTATCTTGACCATGTGTAAGATGAGCTTCGTGCTCAATATGTTATCAAGAATAAATAAAGCTTTAATTATTATTATTATCAGAATTCTAACAACGATGTTTTTTGTTACGTTGATTTTCTATCAAAATTCGATCTGAAAAAAAGTACACATCATTTCAAAATACATGACAAATTTGCGTGAATGCTAATCTCCCCAGTCTTATCTTAATATTTATGTTCGTATGAAACATAATTGCTTACAAAACAGATCCACAATGCATCTCATGATCAGTTGATATGTTTGTAAACAACAGGGATTCATATGATCATAAATATCACGAATAGACATTTCAATCATGATATTTACATTAAAACAACAAAGAAAAAATATCTTTGTGGGTAGTCTTTTCAAGACGAATTTTAAACAAACAGTTTAACGAAATGTCGGAACTTCAATTTTTGCAGAAACAATGTCGATATTTATATTCTTATCATTTCCATCAGTCGACATAGGTCTATCGGAGCGCATCGCGGAGTTTTTGCCGATATTTGAATATGATATGACCTCTTCCCGATTATTCTCGCATCCAAACGAAAGCATCCGAACATTTTCCTATTAGAAAACGTTTGCATGAAAGAGATTTTGGTATTATATGTAAGCTTTGATGACATTTTGATTTGGTAGATTTATTAAGAAACTGTTCAATATAAAAGCATTGATATACAGTAGACTTTGAAAAGGCAGGCGGTGGTGTTTCAATGTTGCATTATCAAACGAAACACTTTATCCTTGTTTCGTTCGATAGAAGTTCGATTGCAGTAGAATAGAGTATAGGCCTACTACATTTGATACGATGGAAATTCGGACCCATAACAAGCAGAACACATATACAACCTCAAGCAAAAAGTCGAACGTGTATAATTAAGAGATTCACCAAAAGGGAAAACAACAGCACTGGATAGTGGGCAGATATTTAACTTTAAAAAGCTTTTTATTTGATGATTGAATAATTTATACAACGACTCAATAAGAAAAAAACATATCCTACCAGTAGAAAATGGCGACGGTTGATCATGTGATAACTGGGCGTTACAGTCAGAAAGACAGATATTGGTAAAAAAAGAAATATTCTTCATTGACTGTACAATTTGTAATGAATTAAGTATAACTGGATTTCTAAAATGCATCACGTAACAATATATGCTCTGACAAGAATCTGGAGAGTTTGCTAACTAAGCTACCGTCTGTTAAGGCCGGACGAGTTTGCTTTGAACACCAATGCAATAGAGATATCTATGAACAATATCGTGCCAAAAACAAACTATTTAGAATGAAATAATAGCTTTTAAATTTTTTGTGTCGACTCAAGTCGTTATAACAACCATAGCCTGAGAATTTGACGTTTCAAAGGAATCCCTAATTCGCTTCTTAAAGATTGTACAAGATGAGCCAGGCGTCAAGTGATACATAAGTAATAAACAACACATGTTTTTATCTAGCATTGCTGATGCATTGTGATAGCAGCCTGTATGTGCGGACGCACACATCACTCGTGCACAAGATGCAGTAGTGGCAATACGGGCAATACACGATGGTTTGCGTTTATTTTGTTTTATGTCCTATTAACAGCTAAGGGATTTTTTAAGTACGTGTCTCCATGTGTGTTGTGTAAGCGTCGTGCATTAGTGTATTTGGGCCGTAGACAGGGTATGTTGGTGTACTTACCTCCTTGTGATAGCGTGGATCTGATGCCGACTTCATAATGCTCTATCGCACTGATATACCATGCCGAAGGTACCCGGCACAGCCCCCCCCCCTCGCCCCCTACCCCCGGTCACATAATACTGACAAAGGGTGAACCAGTTGTTGTCATTACCATTACCCTAAATGCTGAATGGACCCTAAAGGCTGAACGGTAAGTAGGGAAGAACAACAGCCATTTTAAAAGATTTTGATCCTTTAGGCCCTTCACAATCTA